TCATAAAAATTACTAATAGTGATGATTATTATAATATTAATATTTATAAAGGTATCATATATTATTAGTTACATCACAAATTTGCGTTGAATAAAAAATAACAACTTTGAACAATAAATTATTTTAATGTGTATTTTCTATAATAAGTAATTGTAGGTATAATAATAATAATAATTTGCTGACGAGAATACACGGATTAAAATGAAATAACCATTTTCAGAAATAAATATTTCTTCATTGCAATAAAACAAGTAAAGTTTTTTTTTTTATAAATTATCTCCGATCAGGATACTAAATCCTCTTATAATAATAAATTTTGCAATAAAATAATCTTTTAATCTGCAGAAATATTATATTCTATAAAATAATTTTTTACAATCTAAGACAATAATTGTTACAATAATATCTAATACTGCAACATAACACGCATATTAAAGTTAAAATACATTACATTATTTTTTAATAAATAAATTTTTCTTTTTTGCAATAGCTAATTATTGAATTATTAGCAAATATTCAAATTTCTCAATACACTTTTTAAATACTCTTTTTAAGTACGTAAATTAAGACATATTATGCAAGTTTATTTTGACACTTAATTATACTGACTATGTAATCAGCAACTTAAAATAGTAAATTTGTAATTTTCTTAAAAAAATTGTGAATATAACTGTAATTGTTCCGTATTTTACAAATTACGCAGATATCAATCTTGATTAGCGAGTTAGTTACATTCTGAACTCTTGCAGTTAGAGATTCCGCTAACGAGTTACACAAATTACCTGGGAAGTAATTATGATGACGCTTGACGGAGATGACGTTGACAATAGAAATAGTTGAATGCTCTGTGAGTTTTTTATGGCACACTGTATTTTTACTGTTTCTCAGAAAATTTTTCACTTTATATTGAATTACTCATAGACGTTATATTAGCATACATAATTTTTCATTATGAAGATGACACTTATTGCTTATTATATTAGATTTTTATCTAAACATATGTGTAAATATGTTATAAATTTAAATATTGTTATGAATACTTTCCGCAAACTTGTTGAAAAGTTATCCAATGACGGAAATGAATAATTTTATCTTATTGCGATAATCCATCATTACATATTCTATGAATTGTATCGATATAAATATGCAAGAGAAAATAAAATATCTTTTCATTATATTCATTTTACGGAATTAATAAAATTTTTATTTTAATTAAAATTAATTACGCGAAAAAAGTAATTAATTTATGGAAGTTAGAATTTTTTATTCGAGTTTCATTAACAAATTTTTTAATTAATATTATTTGCAGCGAAGTTTGAAAATTAACTTTTAACTCTAAATTTTAATAAAATTTTAACTAAAAATTTTAATAAAATTTTTATTTCAATTAAAATTAATTACGCGAAAAAAGTAATTAATTTATGGAAGTTAGAATTTTTTATTCGAGTTTAATTAAAAAATTTTTTAACTAATATTATTTGCAGCAAGGTTTGAAAATTAATTTTTAACTCTGTTATATAATTTATTGAAAACAAAATATATAGATCATTGTCATTGCATTGTCAAGGTAATCTCAATTACATTCGTTTCAAAGGTACTTCTATAGAAATAGTTGTGGTTATTCTATTAACACTCCAGTGTTAATTTGTAATTTATAATAATATTACTTGACGTATATGTTAATGCTCACAAGAAAGTATCGTGCCAATCAAAAGTCAGTGTAACTAACCAGTAGCGTTAATTTGACGTGTTAAGTGTTAATTGCACGTACAATAAAATAGACTGAAATAATAAAATTACTTATTCATATTCTCATTATTATTAAAATAAAAAATATGCATAATTATTATTCATTGTCAGAAATGAAACTTTCTACAAATTTAAAAATTTCTTTGTCTGGGATTTGAGTTATAAGCATAGCCTTCAGACAATATCATTTATCGCTGAAATGAGATCATGAATACATAAATAATTTCAAAAGTATTAATGAGCTTTTATTTTGTTGGTGAAAGAAAAAAATTGTACAATTATAAATTATGTACTTAAAATCTATTCATATGATAGACGAGTGTTGAAGTTTAACCTTCTAAGCATGACCTTGTTGTAAAACTTAAATTTATTGAAACTTATCAGTTCGTAGTGAAGCATTGTATGAATATTACATTGAAAAAGTTTTGGGTTACACAAAAGTAGATATTTTTAATACTTAGGAATCATAATTTGTCATGTTTAAAAATTTAATAATTTCAGTGGTGTAATTTACAAAAATGTTTAGTAACTCTGTATTGCATTTTTAATAATATTAAAATCAGCAGGCACAGAATAATTTTTTTATTTTATAAGAAAAAATTAATTATTATTTAATAAATATTTTTGAAAAATTACACTCATAGTACTTTTTACTTTTTACTTTCCACACATGGAATTTTTTTTGTTTAAATTTTTTTCTAATATTTTATTTATTAAAAAAAAATTTTGAAATTACCAGATGTATTTAATTTCTTTTTAATTAATTATCACGTCGACTCTAGGCATTTTAAGTGAAATTATTCAATTTATTTAACATAGTAAAAAAAATAATGATTCATATTTCTTCTGAACATTTTTAAATAGCCAAAGAAATTGCAAAAGTTACAATTTGTCACTGGATAACAAGTTTTACATTTTCAAGCATACACAGTGAAAAATTTTGCGTCAATGCGTCAAAAAATTTTGTGTTAAAAATTTTTATGTTAAATATTTAACACTTTTATGTGTAAATTTAACAAAAAAGTGTTAAATATTTAACATAAAAATTTTTAACACAAAATTTTTTGACGCAATGACGCAAAATTTTTTACTGTGTAATATATTGTAGTTTTAGAATGTATTACTATCTCAAACTGTAATTTCTCGTAAAATAAATTAAAATATTAAATAACTTATTATAGATTTTAGTTAAAACCTCAATAATTTTGGTACTAAAAATTCATTAATATTTTCACGTTGTATTTTTTTTAGCTAAATTTTCTGCCTAAATTACAACAAATTTTTCTACAATAAGGTTTTGATTTAAAAATTACAACATAAATTTCAAGAGTTTTTACAAGTTATACCGTAACATATTAATCCCTTTATTTTCTCTCATTAAAGTAAATCATTAGAAAATATCAAATCTATTGTACAATTTATTTTGGTTTGTCGTACGACAAACTTATTTTAATTATAGTTACAAGAACAGTTATACATATAACACTCTTAATATTAACACGGGTCAGTAATTCAGTGTTTAGTGAGAGTTAAATTATAGCTTATTTGCGAGTTAAAAACTAGCTAGTTACTTGAAGAATGGTATGAATTATAAATCATTAATTCAAAAATAATAATAATAATAAAAATGACCACATATGTATTTATTTTAATTAGTTAGCTGAACACAACGAACTTGCACAATATTAACAACCATACAGAAGGAGAAAATGTGTGTATAACAAAGGGTTCTCCAGAAGGATATTCAGTTCAAAATACACGTTACATATAAGTCGTTACGTACATATATATATAATAACACAATATAGTAATGGAAATAATCGTATTACATTACATTCAATAAAGAAAATCCGTCTTATAACATACAACCAAGCCTACTTATAAGTAATTTATTTCGGTTTTCCCTATTCTATATTTGGAGTGTACACATCCTTCTTTAAATTATTTATTTTAACGTAATAATTGTATTTTTCAACTATGAATTAACTTTTTACACAGCAAAACAGTGCGGAAATAAAATCGGGCAATTAAAAATAAATGTATAGATATTACATAGAAATAGTTTTTATTTATTTTTAAAATAATATAAACAATAAAAGTATTTTTACAATTGCCGGTAATTATATTTAATTGTGTGGTAAAAAAATTATGTCAACAATGAAAAAATAGAAGATGTATTCTTTCTCTGTAATAATATTCTTAAAGACCTTCGCGTTTCACCTTCTTTAGCTTAATACAAAAGCTGTATAGTCTCGATCTCGGGTTCGCCTTTCCATTTTTTTATATTTATGTTTTCGCATGAATAACCACCGCATGTATATCCATACAAGTAATATTACAAGCTTATCAAATTATATATTATATTATGAATTCTTTATTTGTTACTGAACGATTTGCTAATCACAACAATTTTTAGTAACGTAATTCGTTATTTAAAAGAAAAATTCTTGAGAATTTAATTGAAATTCAATAAGACATAAAAATGGAAAATTGTAACTGTTTATATTATATATATATCATAACTTGGAAAGCTAGTCACGTTAATTTATAAAAGGTGTGGACATAATAATAATAATAATAATACTCTTTTTTTACGTATTGATTCACTCGGGAATGACTTCATTTCTTTTAAATAAATTTCAATAATTATCAATTAAACGTGATCTCATGATGACTTAATACCTTATAGCTTTAAATCAATATATTATTTAATGAGTAATAAGTAATTAATTATTAAAAAGTGGAGATCATACTATTTTTGACCATAAAATCAAAATTTTTTTTTTCTTGAAATTTATCTAAAATAAAATAATTAAAAATGTCTATTTTGACATAAAAAATTTTTTGGTGAAAATCCAAAATAATAATAAATTTCAAAAAGTTGAAATTAAAAATATTTTGAATTTACATGAAAAATACAGAGAAAAAAAGGCCGAAATGAAAGTAGATTTTTTAAATAAAAAAAAATTTATTTTTAATAAAATAATATCAATACTAATATAACTTAATTAATTAATTAAAAACAAAATTCAATAATAAATTTAAAACTATTCAGAACTAATTTTGTTTAAAAAATTATTTTGTAAAGAAATTTTATCTCCAATATTTGTCAAACAATTTTAAAAATTATGAAATTTGAATTATCAATATCCAAATTTTAAGTAACTGCTTAGAAACAACAATTTCTAAGTTAATCAGAATTTTGAAAACGGATAAAATTTTAATGGAAGAAAACAATACTTAGTGATAAAATGACTAAATTTTTTAAAAGTTGTGCCATGAGGACGGCTGCAATAGTTAAATTTTTATGAACTCTATACTAAAATTATCAGAAATCGCTCAACTTATTTTAATAAATTATATCAACAGTTTTTGATAATCATTTAATTTTCTTCAACATTAAAAATCTTAACTTTTTATCGATAAAAAACTCGATAAATTATTTAATAGAATAATAATATAATAAAATACATTATAATTAATAAATTGTTTTATAATTTCAGTGCTTGGAACAAGAGAGGCATTTACTGCGTCGAAGACTGGAAGAAGCCAAAGGTGAGAGTGAAGCACGTGCTCTGGAACTACAAACAGACGTTGAAACATTGAGAAGCCAGTTGGAGGAACAAAGTGAACGTGCGAGACGAGCAGAACGTGAGCAAGCAACTTTAGTCAGTGAACTTACGGCTCAAAATATTCGACTAGCGGATCAATTGAGAGAAGCTTCTAAATCAGAGGATCAATTGCTCACTGAGATAAAATTACTTAGAGATAAATGCACATTGCGAAGTACAACTCTCCAGGATCACGTTAGTAGTCTAGAAATTCTCCGCGATGAGGTAACTTTTATTTTTATTTAAATCTTTATCGCATTAACGATAATAATCTATTGTATTATATTTATTGAGTAAGACGTTTACTTATTTGTACTTGTATTAATTTAAGGTGCAATTGGTTTCGGCACAAAGAACAGAGTTGGAAAGGCGATCTCTTGAATTGCGAGAAGAGAGAGCTAGAGCTGTTTCAGCCCTGGAGGAAGCCGAGGAAAGGGCTGCGGCCTTGGAGAGACTCAGCCATGAAGCGGAACACCGAGCGAAAGCAGCCGAGCAGGAGAGGTAAAATACAATACAATAAATCCACTCAAACTAAAAAAATATTTTTTTTATCTATTATTCAATTGTTTTATAGACAAATATAATTATTTTTTTTTATTTTATTAAATCTCCGATTATTTAAGAAGTTATAATTGCTTGTTGTTATATGGTTTGGTTTTAAAAATACTGATTGCAACTTAGATTGTTACCATAGTTATAATCTTGGAATAGTGCCCGCATTTCAACGCCCAAGAGTTGCTATGACTCACGAGTATGAGTTTGATTTTGCAATCTTGTGGTATTATTCAAGATCTCTAGTTCTATTCAACTATCACTTTTTTATAGGATCTTAAATATTTATTAACACTGTAAAAAAAAAAAAAAAAAACATTAATTTTTTTAAACCACACTGAGAAAAAAAATACTTTTGCTCAATTAACAATTTCTTGGCACAAGAAACTCGCTGACGATCAAATATTATATTATTATTAATTATTAATTTCTGAAGAGAAGAACATCAATATTTATCTTTGGATAATAATAGATAAACAAAAGAATAGCTTTATTTTAATTTTTTTTATTTTTTTATTTTAATTTTCAAGAACATAAATTCTTGTATCAAGAAAATTTTCTTAATAAAAGTATTTTTTTTTTCTCAGTGCGCATGAATTATATTTCATATTATCAGAAATAATGATTGTCAATATTTAGCATATTACTGTTGAATTTTGTAATTTTAGTTTATTAAAGATTCATAACTTATATTATAAGTAATCAATGTAATCATAATAAACCGGTTCATAAAACTGTCATTGGTTTATGTTGACGTACTTAAACACCCACGCTTCAACCTTTTAGCGTGTTTTTTCATTGATAAAGCAAAATAACGAATTATTTATGGTTAAATTATGTATTCGCTTTAAATTTTAATAACATTAATAAGTAAATTATTTTAAAATAAAATAAAATTTTAGTAGATTTTTTTTTAAATTAAAGTTTAACAAAAAGATTATTAATGTGTTTAATTTCGTAATTGAGTAATTAAAAAATGAAATTTATTATATTACAAAGAGAAATTTTATGCCAGTTGAGATTTACTGTATCGTTTTGTTAAATTATAGTAAGTGGAGATTTAAAATTTCACTTAAAAAAAAATTCCAAAATACATTGCACATGTAATTTATTTAAAAAGTATGTCATTTATAATTACACTAATGAACTGAGCTAAAAAATTGATAATTACTCTAGCAATTAAATAAAAAAAATCTACCAGACTAAAATAGTAACCATTTATTAATAATTTATTCTATTGTAATTACTGCTTGACCTTATAGTTGAAACTTTTTATAAAATTATTCGTCTCAATTTAATAAATTTTAACTTTTCATTGAATGATTATTTGAATGATTCATATGAAAAGTGAGTAAAAAATTACTGAGCGAGTATTTATAAATATAAATAAATTTTATACTTGAGAGAGTCATAAATTTTTTTATTATTTATAATGTAAAGCTTATAGTTATAATATAACTACGGATGTTGATATTATTTTTGCTCACCAGGAAAATTTTTTAATTTTTACCAAAATATTACCAGAATATTCTTCTAAATCAGTCTATATTATTAAAACAGAAGCTATAACACACATATGTTCAATCTTTGCTACAAAAACACAACTCCACTAAATTTATGTATGTGTAGATAAAAAAAAATAGCTTTATTAAATTTCTAAATATAATAAAATTTATCTTAATCATAATCTGAATTGTTATGATTTCTCGGTTATTGAATAAAAAAATTTTAATGTACCGTTAACTTTTAAAAAATATAAAAATAAATAAAGTAATTTACAGTACTCATAATTATTTGTAATAAAAAAAATTGATAGATATATTCAAGTCACATATGAAATTGATGATCGTTTTTATTGTTATCGGTAATAGAGATGAGCTATCTGCGGCACTAGCGGCGATCGAAGCAGAGAGAAGAGGCCGGTCTGGGTCAATACAGAAGCCACCGAGGTCGTTGCAGGCGGAAATGGAGTGCGAGGTAAGCGGTAGCTCAATGGGGGAGCAAGAGGACATCAGAGCGGAAGTAGCGAGGGCGTGCAAACGACTACGAGAGCTTAACACGCACCTGCGACGGGGCGAGGACGACTCGGGACTGCAGAGTGACTGTGACGAGTCAATGCCCGTCATTGTCACCAGTGTTGAGACCGAGGTAATAACAGACTCTTTTTTCACCTTTAATCCTCTCAAGATCACATTACATACTTTAAAAGTCTATTATGTGTTACGCACCCCGTATATTTTTAAAGACGTTTTACTTTATTCAATTTTTAACGTTTATTTTTTTTCTATTCACTGAAAAAAATTTATCGTTAAAAAACACAATTTAAATCGTGATCAATAATTTTTTATAAATATAAAAAAAAAGCAAATTTTTTTAGAGATTAAAATCAATCATTAAAATATTTAGAAAGATTAAGATCAAATATTCTAAATGCCAAAAATCCATTAAAACCTTCATGACCACGATTTTCTTATCGATTAAAAATATAAAAAAAAATCTTATACATTTTTAATTATTTTATTCAAAAATATTGTTTTTTACCAATAAAAATAAATTAACAATAATAATGGTTGAGTTCCAACAATACAAATGATTTTCTTTCTCTAATTTCAATAAATAATTATTCTAAATCAAAAAATTAACAATTAAATAAATAAATAACTAAAATTAATTTAACATGAAAATATTTAACATAAAAATTAATTTTTAACAATTCAAGTTTTTTTTTTTTTTTTTTTTTTTTTTTTAGTTTAATATATTTAATGTGTGACATCGAGTGTACCACAGTAAAATAGCAAACGTCCAATTTAAAATAGCCAGAAATCCACTATCTTACCAAAGTACCTTCGATGAATGTTGCTCGATGGGATCCCATAATTAAATAAAAAAATTTTAATTTAAGTGTGATTTTTCACTATGGGATTGATCGAAGGTCATTTTTATATTTTTAATGGTGATTATTTAGACATGATGGCGTGTGCAGTCTTAATTTAAATTAATTGAGCTTCTAATGTCAATCTTTAAAACTCAATATAATTGAAGTAAGGTACATTAAAATTTTGTATCAATTGTATTAATTCCTTATCATTAAAACAATAAACAATACGCTCACTGCAATCGTAAGGGATTACCTTTATGAATAGATTCGCAATAATGTAAATTATTTTTTTTAATGTACTGCTTTTTGCCATTGCATAGTTAAAATTTTCGGTCAATATTTTAAAATAGTGAAATGTATTTTTATCAAGAGAAATATTTAATGAATTGAAATCAGCTACTAAATTATCGTCAAAAGCGTATTTAACTAATTGTTCACGGTTTTTAACGACAAAATCCCAGCAAGTATGCCCATTTTTTCCTATGTGTAAATTCTTCAGATAATTTTTGCTTTCAAGCATAGATTTTTTATCATCATTATAATAAAAATCTAAATCATTCTCTTTCATTTGAGAAATAATATCTTTTGCTTGCTCCAGTGTGTTATTTGTTGTAAAGAATTCTAATTCATAAACGTCTTTTGAGATCGTCACTATTCCCTAATGCAGCATCAGCGGCATTGTCATCATAGCTTGCAAAGTTTAAAGGGGAATGTTTTAGCTGTTGTACGCCTAAGGACATTTCATAATAGAGATATTTCATTGCTGGAACAGTTCCTAAATGGGCTACTAGGTCTATTGTTGATGTCAAGTTTTTATTGAATGGAAAGGAACACATGACGTCAATATTAGCTTTAGCATTAACTAACAATTCCAATCTATTTTTGTCATCTTGCCGATCGGATGATTGTAAATATAAATAACGAGATTCACGCGCTTCCCTAACATTATAAATGTAATGAATTGCTCGATTTCCGAATATGTCTACGTCATCAATTAATGGTCTTCCCACCAAAATCATTCGCAATGTCCTTAAATTGTCTACTTGAGCCGCAATCATCAAGGGAGTAATATCTGAATTGGTTTTTGCGTTGATATTAGCTCCATGTTTAATCAACATCTTGATGGTGGGTGAATCATCAACTGCTGTTGCCCAATGTAGTGAAGTGGGCTTCTCATCAGGTAAATCGAATAGGAAATCGAAAATATCTACGCCCTTAACATAATCGCCTTTGGTAAAACGTAAATTTATATCAAACGTATAACTTAATAATAATTCTGTGATCCTCCAACTATTGCATACAACCGAAAATTAAAGTGGATGGACAATTTTCACACCTTTCACACCTTTTGGATTTACTATTTTACTATTAAATTTAACTAAAAGGCGAGCGCACTTTACCTTTTTTTTTTATGCAAGTATAATGCAGTGCCGTAAATCCCTCGTTGTACTTCCCTCGTAATTCTGCACAATCTCCATGGTTTGTTAAATATTTTACAACACTCTTAGATCCTCTCAAAGCTGCCAAATGAAGTGCTGAGCTGCCATTTGCAGTACAACTATTTATATTTACTCCATGTTCCTGAAGAGTCTCGACGATTTTCAAATTTCCCTCGAAAGCAGCATACAATAGAGGCACCTCGAAAGAATAAGTAATAATTTTACGTTTTGTGACCGCGGCGAAATATTAAATTAGTAGCACAAGAATATCCGACTCTTTGCGACGAAGTGCTAATATTATTAAGGATCCATTAAACTTCACATCGAACTTGCGAATTTTCTTCAACTTTTTTATCACTTCACGCACATTTCCTAAAATTATTTCACGGATTAAATCCTTCCGAGTCACAATTTCCGACTTCATCCTTCTTGAGAATAACACCGAATTTTTTTGGAATTGACAAAACACTCCACACAAGTTTTTTATATTAATATTTAAACTATCTTCGAGTTGGATATTCCGAAGAAAACCTACACGGAGAGAAAAGAATAGTAATTATTACCATTCAACATGGTAACCAGGCTCATTTTCAGTAAAATGGTAAATGGTTCAGTAAGATGCTATGTAGAATAGGATACATTACCATTTTTCTGGTAATGATTACTATGCTACATTGAAACGAGTGAAATGGTAAATATCGCTAGTCTGCACGGGAATCAGAGCTATGTAGACTGGTAATGAGTCCCATGCTAGAATAGCTGTCCCTACAGTTTAACGCTAAGGCTAAGGCTAATATTGACGCTAAGGCTAATGTTGACGTCATGTGTTCCTTTCCATTCAATAAAAACTTGACATCAATAATAGACCTAGTAGCCCATTTAGGAACTGTTCCAGCAATGAAATATCTCTATTATGAAATGTCCTTAGGCGTACAACAGCTAAAACATTCCCCTTTAAACTTTGCAAGCTATGATGACAATGCCGCTGATGCTGCATTAGGGAATAGTGACGATCTCAAAAGACGTTTATGAATTAGAATTCTTTACAACAAATAACACACTGGAGCAAGCAAAAGATATTATTTCTCAAATGAAAGAGAATGATTTAGATTTTTATTATAATGATGATAAAAAATCTATGCTTGAAAGCAAAAATTATCTGAAGAATTTACACATAGGAAAAAATGGGCATACTTGCTGGGATTTTGTCGTTAAAAACCGTGAACAATTAGTTAAATACGCTTTTGACGATAATTTAGTAGCTGATTTCAATTCATTAAATATTTCTCTTGATAAAAATACATTTCACTATTTTAAAATATTGACCGAAAATTTTAACTATGCAATGGCAAAAAGCAGTACATTAAAAAAAATAATTTACATTATTGCGAATCTATTCATAAAGGTAATCCCTTACGATTGCAGTGAGCGTATTGTTTATTGTTTTAATGATAAGGAATTAATACAATTGATATAAAATTTTAATGTACCTTACTTCAATTATATTGAGTTTTAAAGATTGACATTAGAAGCTCAATTAATTTAAATTAAGAATGCACACGCCATCATGTCTAAATAATCACCATTAAAAATATAAAAATGACCTTCGATCAATCCCATAATGAAAAATCACATTTAAATTTTAATTTCTTTGTTTAATTATGGGATCCTATCGAGCATCATTCATCGAAGGTACTGGGCTACACTCGATATCACGTATCTGACATATTAGACTAAAAATAAAAAATTAACTTGCATCAAATAAATAAATTTAAAGTGTGCGATTGAAAATATTTTACTTTTTATGAAATTTCTGAAATTAACCTTCTAGAAATTGAATAAATCTAAAGTACACAAAGACCCACACTAAGTATGTTCTGAAATGGTTTCTTTTAAACTTTAAATTTACATTTACAATAAAATTTTTCGTCAATTCAAAAAATTTGGAAATTCCAAAAGTTAACGCCTCATAATGTCATTGATTAAAACAAAATAATAAAAACGGAAAAACTCAGGATGGAGTGCAATACCCCCCTTCGTAGTTTGAAAATTCACATTCGCTCTCATTTTTTTCAGACTTTCGACTATTTCCAAACTATTACCCTAAACCGTGTACAATAACGGAGATTTTAATGAATTATTTCCTTTCATCTTTTCCTTCTTATTCGCACTAACATTCATTTTGATCAACAGCCGCGCGATTTCAAATTGTTTTTGTTTAATTACGAATGATATTGGAACACTGAATTTAGCACCAATTTTGCTTGATAATTTTTATTTTTTTCACATTTCCGGAGATGATAGCACTGATTGGATTTTTTCGAGCCTCCATAATTGTCAACTTATTATTTTCTTCGAAAATTCACTAAATTTTTTTACAAAAACGTTGATTTTTTTTAATTTAAAGAGATAAAAGTTAGTTTTCCACTTGTCTGACTGAAGCTAAAGTGCTTACTGGAAAGGCAGCACTTTTATAATTGTCGCTTGGAATTGAGATGTGACGACAAGAGAACCTGATGGAAAACTAACTGGGATCTTTAATTTTCGATATTTATATGGGATAACATGCAGCTGGCTTAAGGTAGAAGACGCCATTATGGGGGGTCTGTACCTGCCCCAAAATCTTGTACTATGGCTGTGAGCCCATATTGGGGAAGGCAAATACTTAACGTCATCAGTGATGGTTAATTACTAATTAGTTTCTTATTAAATTATCATTTTGCGTCTTTCTAATTTTAGTTGGTCATGCACTATAAAAGAGTCTTAGATTTTAGTTTGTAATTTAGTTTTAATTTTTCTATTTCTAATAACAAAAGGAGATGACATTTAGTGGGACATTAAAAATGTATAACTAATTTTTAAGCTATGGAAAATTTTATTTTTGGTCTGGGAAAGTTTTATTCTTAAATTAAATATATCAAATTTTATTTTTAATTTATTTATTTTAAATTTGATAATTTTTTAATTTTAATTTAAAAAAAAAGAAAAAATTTTCTCTTTTTTTTTATTATATTATATTATATTTTTCAAATATAAAAAAATTATGACAGATTCGCTTAAATCGTGAAAGACCAAGCAGCCAACGACGAAAAAGTTCTAGGACTCGATAGAATTAATTAGCCTTTACTTCTTTTAATTTTTCCTGAGTTTCCCCGTAAAAATTTCCAAGATTCTTTGTTTAAAATATATTTTCTTAATTTAATAAATTAACAAATGAAAGGTCTCGATAAATATAATGTCGGGGTGAGCTTATATCTTTAAAAATACCAATAGTTCACAAGATACAAGGTAATTTCTTCATTATGTATCTAGAGATAGAGCATTTTTGAATGCATCCTAAATACTTATCATCATTTTCCGAAGTCAATTTTAAGTCGTCGTTAAAAATTTGAAGAAAATAAAACATAATAAATTTTTTAAGATAAGAAGTCATTGCTAATCGATAATAATCAAATATTCCTTGTTGAAATAAATAAGTTTGACCACAAAATTACTTTTCTCTTCTTCCTCTCATATTAAAAAATTGCATTAATTGATAAATAATTAATAAATAGATTTCTATAAAAACAATGCTTATTTTCATATCTGATAAAATTTCAGTTATTAATTTTTCATATACTCTCTCTCATAATGTTGACCATGATATTTCAAAGCATTGAGAGCCCGTGTAATTTTGGGTACAAATGGGCAAAATCCTCAGATATCATAAAAAAAATTGCGATCATGAATGAAGAGTAATAATCCAGGATAAGATTCAATTGACTTGAAATCGTAAATATTCGTCGCAATGATAGGTTGAACGGAATTAACTACAATAAAACTATTAAATATAAACATAAAAAGATACTTTGGAATCATTGTTTGATGCATTTGTCTAAACAACTATTTTCGAACACACTTAGTTAGAGTAATGAAAGTTAATGAACAATTATAATTATTTTTTGATAAATAAAAAACTTATTTAATAGCAACTGCGCACTTGAAAAAACTTGATAATTTTTTTATTTAACTACCGACTTATAATTTCAACTGAGAGGATAGTTAAGATTGTTATAAGCTAAGATTAGCTTACAATTTCTTACAAATTAGCTGTGACGCATAATGGCGTGCTCTGAACTTTGGTTGTAATAGTTAAGGTTAATTAATGCTGAGATGACAAATGAATTTCATCTATTTATACCTCTCAAGTATATACTAAGTCTATGACAAATGTTGTGCTCCCATTTCTGTTAGTAAGATTTGAATATCTCAAATATCTAGAAGACATTACAAGATTCTTATGATATGAATTTCAAAATATTTTTTTTAATACAATTTTTTAAAAATTGTTTTTCCGGCAAATCAAGTAACAATCCCTATTTTTTTTTATATAATAAAGATTGTAATGTTAATAATATACTCTTAAGTTAACCGGGTCAAAAAAAGTCCCTTGACAATGATACTATTTATTATTTTCTCAGTATAATATTCCAAAGAACTCTATATTGATTAACTGAAATATGTAAAAGTTTGATAATTACTTAGTTTCACGGTCGCTTGGTTTTTTAGGGTATAAAAAAATGGAAAAAAAAAACTTATCCAAGTTGTTCTTCGTCGCAGTAAATTTATGAGTAAAATTTTGAAAAACAAGCTTTTCAACTACAAATTTTTCATGAAAATTCTTTAAATATCAACATTTCAAGTACTATACTATTTTTTTTTTCTGAAAGAGTAAATTTTTAATTTTTTGTCAATGATATTAAAACTATTCAATAATTTTTAAATATTAATTTACATGTTGCACACCGAAAGTAGAAAAATTTCTAAGAAAAATAACATTATTTAATTATTACAATTTTGTAAAATCCTACTTAAATTTGAAAAAAATTTTTTATTTCAATTTGTTTAGTTTTTCATTTAAAAAAAAAAAATAGACACTGTGAAGTTAGCAAACGTCTAAAAATTTTTGATTTTTTTTATTAATTAAATTACAACTAAAAAGATATTTCTAAAAAATTGCACATATAGTTTTTCAAGTTTTTTACATGTGAAATTTTTTTTTTAATTGTTCAATTGAAATTTTTTCAATAAAAAATTTCTAAAATTTTTGGAATGTCGGGTAACTTTCTTTATTTTCAAAAAAAAAAAAAAATAGCAATATACTCTAAAAATTAATATCTAAAAAAATTCAATGAATATTTTTTAATTTTCAAACTATATAAAATATTTATAAATCAGCCATGAAGATAATAAAAATCTATAAGAATTTGTCAATAATTATATTTTTTTTTCATGCTCAAAAAACCAGATGAAAATTTAAAAAGAGGAAGAACTCTTTAAAATAAAATCAAATAATTATTTTCTAAATAATAACTTTTTAATTTATTGTTGATTTTATAAAAATTTTATATTTCAGGACTATTGTTCGGGAGCACTCACTGAGCTTGTTGAAGAAACGTACAGTCTTGCTCTGACCGGAAGAGGAGCGCCAGGAGAGCTGGGTCTCGCAGTAGAATTGCATCGAGTTACTGAGGATTTGGAGCATACAAAACAGCAACTAAAACAAGTTCAAGATGAATTAAAGAGACGTGGTGAAGCTTTACTGGACACGACAAGTAAATTGAGCGTGTGTGAAGCCGAGTTGCGTGGGGTACGTGAGGAACGTGATCGTGCTAGAGATGACATTGAGGACTCCGAGCTCAATAGAGATGAAGTGATTGCTCAAGCATACGCAGTGAGGGACCAAGCTGTTGCGAGAAAAAATAGAGCGGAAGTTGAATTAGCGAGAACCAGGATAGACGTGCTTCAGGTTAATAGTCAGCTGATGGAAGCGATTCAGCAGAAAATTGAACTAAGTCAGCAGCTGGAGCAATGGCAGATGGATATGCAGGCTCTCATTGATGACCATGTTAAGAGCAAACTAACCCCCCCTAGTGCTCATATAGGAAATGGTAATTCTAATGAGAGTACTGAAGTTACCGCCCCTGTCAGAAAAAAACGCAGCACAGGCAGCTCCAAGAAAATGTTTGGGTTATTCTAACGAACAATTTCTTTTTTTTACAAGTGAAATAGTGATTAAATTTAAGGATAGTATTTTAATAAAAATGTTTACTTAATTGCAAATATTAAGTATTACATTTTTATTCGATATAAATATCGTTCTGTTTTTTATTTATTTTTATTGAAATATTAAAAACTATGAACGATTCATATTGTAATTAATGTTCGGATGATATAATAATTTAATGAGAAGCGATTTTTATTTAATTGATCTCGTGTTGATATTTATAACTATTAGAATTTCATTCCATAGTAACATTTTTACTGGTCAAAATATTATAGTGTGGATGCTTAATTTAAAGAGCACTAAGAAAAAAAATAATTTTATACATATATTTTTATGTTTTGATAAATTATATTTATCAAAATTTTAATTTTGAAAAATTCAAATTTTATTTTAAATTTTTTATTGTAATATTGCGATTTTTTTTTAATTCTATTGATAACTTTCAATTTTTTTCTGTAAAAACAATTCTAATGAAATGATGTAGTAGTGTATGACATAAAAACAATTGATTCTTATGTTAAAAATTAATTACTATTTTGTAAATTATTTTTTTTTCTCATTGAACTTAAAGATGTTATACTGAAAACAGACATCTAAAAGTTTCCGTCATTTCAATTGACAATTTATAGGAAAAAATGTGGTTCAAAAATATGCACGTAAAATTTTTTAAAAAATTTTTCATACATATCTTTTGTTTTATCAATAATTTTATCATTGAAAAATTCAATACATTTTTAGATGTTTCTATTTTTAGTATATCGACCATTCAAAATACATTATTCATAGAAATTTAAAAAAATCGTGTAAAAGTTTATAGTGACCATATGAAAATACAAAAGAAAACTTTTCTATTGATTAGTCCTTGAAAATATTTTTTTGTTCTTCACATTTTATATGTAACTTTGTAATTTGTACAATTGTAATTAATGAATCTATATTTAAATCTGAATTTTTCTGTATTCAAAAGAAGAAAAAAATTTTATGAAATTCTGAGCAATATAAAACTCAAATCTGGGCTGAAGAAAAGATCTATTTTCTTGATTAGACTAAATGACTAAATTTTATATATTGAATGTAAAAAAAGTGCCGGCAAATAAATTTTATAATTAAAAAAAAATAATTTTAAAAAACAAATATGTAAATATTGTAAGCTAATATATAAATTAAGAAATAACATTATTTATTAGAGGTATTTCGTATTATGTGTACTTAAAAAAATAACTTAATTTAATTGTAAAAATATTATATCTTAATGTAAAAAAAATGGCAGTAACACATCTTTACTCCAAATTACTCAACTCGGCGACATACTGTACTCAACATAAAAAATTGAATAACTTTAAAAAAAAAAAACTTTATTCAATTCATTCACTACTCAATGCTAACTTTGCTCATCGCTTTTACTCAGTTCCAACTGTATTTCATGAAATCTTTACTCAATAGTATTTTATAAGTGATAGCGCGCTTTTAAAAATTTCTATTCAATATTTTTTTATTTAATAATATTTTATTCGGCAAAAACAAAACTGTACTCAAAATTTCTCAGCTCTGTGCAATCTATACTCCAATAAAATAATTTAATAAATAAAAAAAAAAAAAATTTTACTCTATATAGATATATAAATTATATGTAATTGAGTAAAGTTGACATTGAATAAAGTTAGTAAAACAATAGAATTTTTTTTTAAGAATAAAATTATTAATTAAAATTTTTTTTAACTTATTTAAAATAAACATATTATTAAACAAAAAAAATTGAATAAACTTGAATTGAGTAAACTTAGCGTTGAGTAAAGTTAGCATTGAGTAGTGAATGAATTGAATAAAGTTTTTTTTTTTTTAAGTTATTCAATTTTTTATGTTGAGTACAGTATGTCGCCGAGTAGAGTAATTTGGAGTAAAGATGTGTAACTGCCGAAATTTTTAGAAGCATTTTTTTTATTGTAATTGATTTGTTGTAAAATTTTAAAATATTGACAGCTGTCAGCTGACTTCAGTATCATAAATAATCAAGGTTAATTGTCAAGAAATTTACTATTATACAATTTTTTAGCTTGCTATAAATTAATGTAGACGATATTAAATTGAGAATTAGTTTAATAAAAATAAATTTAATAGAATTTTAATAAGAATAGTTGTTATATTATTTTTGTATTAATTATTAACTCAAATATGCGTTAAGATAAAAATTAAAAATAGACGCAAAAAAAGTTAATTTGACATAATGATAATGAAAAAAAATAATATTAGTATTTAAATAAAATATTATTACCGGCATAGGACTACTAGCATGTTAAACATATTATTAAACAAAAAAAATTGAATAAACTTGAATTGAGTAAACTTAGCGTTGAGTAAAGTTAGCATTGAGTAGTGAATGAATTGAATAAAGTTTTTTTTTTTTTAAGTTATTCAATTTTTTATGTTGAGTACAGTATGTCGCCGAGTTGAGTAATTTGGAGTAAAGATGTGTTACTGCCAAAAAAATTATTAACCAGTGAGAAATATAATATTTTTTTAGACTGGTAAATTGCATGAATAATGTGTGATCCGTCCGATTAAAATTATTACTTACTAGATGTATATTAAACACGTTAATGTAAAATTTTATATAAATGTAAAAGTCAAAATTAATATAAAATAGAGAAACAATTTAGAAGCTATTAAATGTTAAAATTAATTTTTAAAAATGTTTTTATACTGAATGTTGCTAATAGAATTCCAGTCGCATTTTTAAATTTAATAATATATCAATTGTTCACAGACTGTAATATCAAATGATTTAATAGAATTGAAATGTACTTTCTCAAATGAAATACTTTTAATACTATAATAAACTAGGTATAATTAAGAAATAGGTATATAATACATATTTATTTAATAAAAAATGAAAAATAAAGTGAAATCTGACTATTTAATTGCCTTTTTTAATTAATTTTTAATTTGTTGTCGATTAAAGGTTAATAGTCGATTCGCAAAGTATAATTTGACAAATTTCTATAGAAAATTAAATTTAACCAACATTATAAGCATAATTAAACTATTATCGCCTGTAATCGAAATTCAACCAATTGTGTTCGTAAAGCAACAAAATTCAACTCGTTTCTTACATCATCTTTGTTTATAAATTTTACATTCTTAACTGGACGCAATAAAAATTAAGTAATAGTCAAAGCCAGAGATCAAGCATGATAATTTAATTACAAAAAAGGAAAGTAACATTATATATTTCCTTGAATAACTTTTTGTAACATTTTCCCCTTCAAGAAAGATCCAAGAATCTTAGCTTATACAGATGAGTTATGAATGAGATAATTGATCAATGATTTTAATGCTTCTATCTAATTGTTCGAAGCGTTTTAAATATAAAAGTAATTTATGTGTATGTTTACTTTCTTTAACGGTAAATACATACATGATTTTCTTTTTGTACGCATCGATGACACAGTACCTTCCAGATAATATGCTTCATTTTTATTTTACCAGTCATCTTATATCATTCGTATGAATATATGAATATATTTTGTTAAATAACTGTGGGAAAATATTTTAAGCTTTGTTACACCAAGATATGATATAATGATATAGTAAAATATAATATAAATAAAAAAAAAAATATCATTGATTAACTGACTACAACTTGAAGTTGTGAAGTTGATATGTAGTAACTCTTTAATATTTGCGGAGGAAGAAGAGTAGATTTTTTTTTTTTGTTTAATTTGATATCAACCGGGTACTGGTTCATTAATCTAGTAATTATCTAATTACATTTTTATGTCACTGGTAAACATAGTTTTTTTTTCAGAACTGAGTGTTTATCGCAGTCTTTTGGAAGTTCTTCATTCGGTTTTTGAAAAAATATAATTAAATTGAAATAATAATTATCAAATTCAGGATGTAAAAGACCAAACCAACTCTATATTTGGCAAAATAAAAACAAACATTAATTATTAAAATTAATAAATTAAAAATTAAGTGTCATAAATCAGTGAATAAATAAGTAAAAATTATTATTAACTACTCAATTAAAACAATTAAAGAAATAAGTAAAACAACAAAATTAGTTTGGTCTTCTACATCCTGAATTTAATTATTATTGAAGAAAATTATATCTGATATCAATTATGAATTAGTAATAATTAGATGCAAATCGTTGTTCGTTGAGTATTTTGAAACAAAAATACTCCACGGTTCGCTACTTGTCTACGACTGATCGAACTACTAATATTTTATTATTGATATTAAAATGAACATCAGTTAGATTATTATGTGATCAAATAATGGTGCATCAATGAAAATTAAAATATTCGTTAGAATTTTTTAAGTCAATTAATATCCTGCTTTATATACCGGATTTATTAAACTGCTTCGAGTTCATCGAAAAAATCTCAACCTCAGACATAATCGAATACTTAAAACAACGAAATCCAATAAAAACCACGTCATCAATAGTCCAAAAAACAGAATATCAGCTCTTATTAATAGATATCAAACTGTGACATAAATTTTTTCGATGGTTCCTATAAAAAATTCTTAGCTAAATTAAAATAAATCTTGTAATTCCAAAGTGCTACAATACTTTCTCCTTTGTAAATTAGTCTAGTTTCATTTATAATTTTATTTATATTAAATTCTCTCAAAAAAAAATTTTTTTTGTATTACCAATATAAAGCCAATATATTACCAAAATAAAGCAAATATAAGGGAAGAACTCTGTTTTGCTCCCTCCCCCACCCTAGTACAACATTTAAATAATAAAACTTCAATATTGAAATTGTAAATACAGAGAAGAAAAATTTTGTCTACAATTCGAGAGACAGAGTAGAATTCCTATTCATGTGCTATACGTGACTGGAATTTGAATACTTAAAAAATGTTATCTAATTGTATAGGTTGCATTGTATAAATAGTAAATAAATTTGAAACTTTTATGCAAAAAAATATTTTCGCAACCCGCCTACACTATTCTTCTTATCCTTTTTTTCATGTTGTTTTGTAACTCTATTAAGTTATGAATATATCTTAATTGGTTACCTACATGTAAGCACAGTATAAAAGCTCTACCAAAGAAGTAGCGTCCTTTTTCTAACTCTTTTATATTTACATACTGTTGTATTATTAATAGGGTGACCACATACTAAGAAACTTAATTCAACTGGAAATATCAGCGAATTTATACAATTCATTGATTAAAATTTTTTTTTGATTTTTTTTCAATTAAATTTTGGATGTGTATATTTCTTAGATAGAATTATCAACATTATGAAAAAAATGATTTATTTTATAAACTATTAATCATTATTTTTTTTTAGTTGTTTATCGATATTAATAATATTATGAAGAAGTAAAATTTGTTTCTTTATTATCCAAACAGGAAGCAGGAACTAGCTATAAAGGTAAGTAAAGGAATCATCAAAGGAATATTTATGAGTTTGATAAAGAATGCAAAATTAATTTTATACTTATAAGAATTATGACTCTATTTAATTTACTTTTTTTATAATGGATTGCTTTTAACATCACTAAAGTTGATCATATCATGTTTTTTATAACACAGATTGTAGCGCAATAATAATAAATTTAATTCGGGTGGATTTAATGTAAATATTCACTAAACTCACGACTTCACTTTAGTTAAAAATTAATAGTTTTTTAATTACTACCGTATTTTAAAATAAATTTTTAGTTAAATTTTCTAATTATTATATTCTCATTACAAATTTTAAGTTGTTAAATGTATAAACAGATAAAAATATAATTCATAAACCCAATTTATTTACATTTTATATCCATACACTGATAAAAAAATTGAATTGACTCAAGAGCCAAACTCTTGAACCAAGAATATTATTTTGAAGAAAATGATTTTTTTTAGTCAAGAGAATAAATTCTTGAGCTAAAAAATTATTCTTGGTCTAAGAAAAACTACTATACATAGTATTAGATATATTCATATTAGGGTGTGTCAAAATTCAACTTTCGTACACTGATAGAAGGATTTGTTAATAGTTAAAAAGATTTTTTAATATTTAACAAATTATTTATTAGAAGCCATTTATTTAATTATTTATTAAATCTTAATAATTAAAACAAATTCTAATAAATAACAAATTTAAATTAATTCATTGAAAATTAAAGATTAAAGTAAGGATGAAGTAATTGCAATTCGCAAAATTATTATGCTGAGTTATCATCTGATCTGATGACATTAAAATTCTATATTTTAAAATTATTGTTTTTATACATTAAGTTTCAAATTTAATATGATTTTCTTTTTTACCTTGTTTATATATAAATAAATTGAATTAATTATAGTGCAATATTATATTATATTATGTACTCACAGAAATTGCTCTCTTGTAAAAACTGTATTTACTATGTAATTGAAATCGCCATTTGGCCTGTGCCTTGGCATTAAATAAACAAAATCTAAATCTATTAATCCTTAACAAATATTTGTTAGTATTTAAAAAGATTTATTAATATTTAATAAATGAAAATCAGATTTATTAAATACAAACAAATCATTTTAAATACTAAGAAATGGTCTTTAAATTTAATACTAAAAAATGGTCTCTATTAATAAATGATTTGTTAAATATTAACAAAATGTTATTTAATACAAATAAATCTTTCTATCAGTGTAATGGACTTCTTAAAATTGGAATTTTGAGTTCCGCTTTTAACAGGAGTTGTGTTTGGGCATTTCCTCAGATATATTTCCAATTTTAAGAGGACCATTTTGCTAAAAGAATGACATTAAATTGTTGTAGGTAGCTTATTTTTATCATTTACTAAATGTTTTATTTTATTTGGCAACATTTCATTTTATGCGTAAATTTAGTTTTGAAATAGCCTCATCTCATCAGGTATTATGTTTACATATCTTAAAAACATAATAAATAAGTTAAAATTTTTTAAAAGCTATTTTCCTTTGAAAATCATATTTTTCACCTCATTGGATTGTATATATAATGAGTAAACCGTAAAAGAAGATCACAAAAACAAAGTGTGAATACTAAACAATGTTACTAATTTTGTTATAATGGTTTATCAAGCAAAACACAGAACAAACTAAAAACTCAAAGTAGAATTGAATAAAAATAGCATAGCATTTTCTGAGCGGTGGAGGTAGTAAACAAGTAACCAGTGTGGGGTAACATCGTGGTACAAAGCAATTTCATTTCAGTAAGCGTTGCGGCACCAGTAGAGAAAGAACAATTAACTAAATTCGTTCTTTTGTCTTGTTCATTCATTTAAATAAAAGTCAGTAGATTTATGAGAATAAGTATAATTTAACTGTACATGTTACAATTTCAGTTTACAAAAACAAAGTACAATTAGTATAATTACATATGTTAAAGGTAATGATACTCAAATGGGGGGCAGTGATAATTATTTTCGTGTAACTATTTCACTTAAAAAGGAACCAAATACTGGACCAGTTTATTGTAAAATGGAAAAAACAAATAAGTATCGTCAGCAAAAAACTGTTAAATTATTTTGTGATGCGATGTACCGTTTTGATGTGAGCTTCAAGCCACCTCAACAGTTAGAGTAAGTGGAATAAAATATGAAAATTAATTTAGCAGATATTTGATCATTTTTAAAATTGTTGTAACAAATAAAATGAAAATTAAGTTAGCCGACATCTAAAAATTTTTGATTTTTTTTTTTAAATTAAATTACATTTAAAAAAAGATTTATAAAAAATTGCACTTGTAGTTTTTCAAGTTTTTTACATGTGAAATTTTTTTTTTAATAGTTTAATTGAAATTTTTTCAATAAAAAAATTTTTTAATGTCGGCTAACTTAATTTTCATACAAATAAATTATGGCAAAAAAAATTAGAAAAAAAATTAAAAATCCTCTTTTTTAAAAATAATTTTTTGGAACAAATTTTTTACTTAAAGAAAATTCAAAAATTGTCAAGTGATAGCTAAATTTAATGTCGTGAATAAAATAAATTATCTGTTGAATTAATTTTAATTTTTGCACAAATGTTTGATTAAAAAATTTTATTCTTTGATAGTACTGGTTAATTTGTTAGAAATTTATTTCAAGTTAAAAATTAATGATTCTAAAATAAGTAAATAATTTTATTAACTACACATTTTTTATTTTTTTATCATTTTTCACTCGAAAAAAAAAAAATAATAATTACTAAATATCTTTTGAATTCAAGCCAGTATCATTCAAACCCCTTAATAAAAGAAGCTGTTATTAGTTTTGAAAATAAACAACCAACGTTGAATTTCACGATGGTTTAATATCCATTCTCAATTCCATTTATTTCGAATTATTCTTTGTACTTAATGAATCTGATGAATTCGAGCAAAAGATTTACAAAATATACAAATAAATACTAAGTATCAAAAGAATGGAATAAAATGAAATATATTTAATGGATTGTATCATTTGCATCAATTTTTCCAAGGTACGGAAAAGTATGTTATAAGAACACGAGAATATTGAATATTAATTAAATCAGAGACCTAGAATTAGTTAGCGATCGACATGTAAAAATGTAATGAACTTTGATGTTTAAGGATTTGATAAAAATTTGATAAAAATACTTTTTAAAATAAAAGTTTGTATCACCAATTTACAAGTTATCTTGTTATACCCTAATAGTTTATTTTGTTTTAAAATTATGCTAAACAATATAAGCCAATTTATAAATTTATAAATGACTAAATCCTTGAAAACTAGTTTCTGAAAATCACCAACTTTGAATAGTTAATTAGTCAAACTTTTAACGTAAAATACAGTTGGATAGTTATGAATTGAAGTTAATATGGATACAGTTTACATATTGTACTCAAGTACTGGCAAATTTTCTTTCATAATGAACATACTTCAAGTCATATGAATTTATACCACTAACATAATAATTTAAGTACAATAATGACTCATCAATATACCACAATAGCAGTACTGTAGCAGAAATAGTCCAATATAATACCTCGCTACATTTAATTGTTAAACCTATTTGTCGAAATTATTTCTAATTTGATATTTAATAAAGCAACAAAATAACTTTTTTAATATGAAATTAAAATAAAAATGTTACTTGAAGAAAAAAAAATAATTTCATACCTAATATTCATAGCAATTAAATACAAAAATTAATTACTCAATGCATAATAAATTTACACTATCCTGATGTGAAGAAGATCGATATGTCTGAATGAAAATAATACATTATTTTTTGTTAAATATTCTTTCATAAATATTTTTATCAATATTATTTGAAACTCGTTGAATAACTTATCGAAGAGATTGATTGACAGATCAAGTTTTTACAATTCAAATATTTATTTAACTAATACCGTTGATATAAATAACAAAGAATCCTATCGTAGCTATTTACATTGAATAATTGATGAATAAGAACTAGTAATACTGCATTGTATATTCAGCACCTAGTAGTACACCAAAGTATCGATCATACATAGCATGAGATTTTCTGACCTAAAAAGAAATACGATTACCCAAAGAAAATGTAAATGACTGCATGAAATCATGCAATAATTAACCTCATGCGATAAAGTGATTATTATTTTTAAAAAATACATGTTCATGTTTAAATCAAATTATAAGCTGTGAATTTTATTTTATTTTATTTTTTTATTCAGGTATTAGATTATTTCAGCGGTTGTTAGAAAATCTAGAGTTTTGTTGTTAAGTATTTTATACAGAAAAAAAAATGTTCTTGAATCAAGTATATAATTTTGAAGAACTTAATTTTCTTGATTAGAGTAGAAAAATTCTTGAACTAATAAATTTTTCTTGATTTAAGGAAATTTTACTTAATTCAAGAATTTTTCGTCTTGATTCAAAAAAATTACCCTCTTCAAAATTGAATCGTTTATTTGAGAAACTCCATAAGTAAAAAATACTAAATTTTTCAGGAGAAGCAAAAAACATTTTTCTCGGTTAAGTTTGCATTAACATCATGAACCAATGATGAATAATAATAATGTTAGTATCCCAAAAAATTTAATTGTTAATTACTACTATTCATAATAATGATTTGAAGTTGATTGACTTATGAGATTTCTCAAATAAACAAAAAAAATATTAATAAAATTATTAATTTATTAATTTTTCTCCGTCAATCATTTATTATATTTATAAAATAAAGTACAAAATATGTATTGGAACCAAAATTAATGAAAATTATTATAAGTCATCTATTTTTTATTTCAAATTAGTAAACTGAGAGTCAACAATAAAACAACATTTTAATTTATCACAATCTAACTTTATAATATTAAAATTGCAAAAATTATTGAAATCAAAGTATTTAACAGTAAATATAATATATTTTTATTTGGTTATCATTAATTTCATAATTTAAATCAGTTAAATCAGAGTCAACAATAAAACAACATATTTTTAATTTTAATTCATCAAGCGAATATTGTAAAACTCATTGGAATTCAAGTATTTAACAGTAAATTTAGTTTCTAATTATCTAATAATCAATTATTTTAAAATTATAGTCAGTGAAGTCACATCAAACTATAAAACAGTAATTTAATTTAATTTTTATAAACCCACACTGTGAAAATTATTAAAATTTAAGTATTTTGCATTGAACTGAATTTTTCTACTTAAAAGAAGTTTTTTTGAAATAAAAAACAGAAAGAAATTTATTTTTGGAATTTTGAAATTGAATGTTTATCCGAAAAACCCCATAAGTCACTGACTTATGGAGTTTCTCAACTAAACGAGATTTATATCGACCGATTGGATAGGTCTTGAACACGGATTTAATATTTTTTGGTGCTGGTATAAGTTAGGGGAAATTCAAAGAATTGAAAAAATGTAATAAACCCGATTTCGAAAAAAATATGACTAATGGGGTTTCTCAAATAAACGATTCAATTATTTTCTTGGTTTAAGAATTTTTCTTTCGAATCAAGTTAATTTTTTTTTCAGTGTACGAAATTCGATTTTGACTTAATAGTTTATGATTAAAAAAGTTACGATTGATAATTTTTAAGATTTTTTTTTTTTAATAAATAAATTATCATAAAAAAAAATAATTAAAAAAATTTTATTTACAACGTTTTATTTGTTAAAAAAAATTATTAGCTGTCTGCTGATTCCAGTATCATAAACGTTTTTATCATAAATTACTCTCCAAGATAAATTACTCAATGTGTTGAATATACTTATACTACTTGTTGATTGCTTCAATTAATAATCTAAATAAAATTATGAAAATCAATAACTATTACTTGCTTCGCGATATTTATATCCATAATTTAAAAAAAAAAAAATTTTTAATATTTATTTTTATTAAATTAGAATGCTTTGAAATTACAACTAGGTGCGTATAGTACAAATGATCCATTGTCAAAACTTGGGCGTTGGGGAAACCATATGCAAAAAAAATGATGTGGTGTCTTGGGACACCAGGTAGGAACGAAGTTCCTTCGGCTAATGTAGAATCGACACAAATTGCAAAAAAAATCGTGCTCAATTTTATGTAGATTTTCTTGATTTTTCTCTTAAATTTTGCTGATTAGTTTTTATTTAAGTATAAGAAAGTATTTAGAAAATTCAGTATTTTAGGAAATAATAAATTACTTAAAATAAAAAAACATTGAAATTATATGAAAATAAACGTGGCTACTCACGAGTAAAATGTATCTATAATGTGAGTATTCGCCACGTGCTTGTCCATAAATTCATGAGTACACGGAGAGAATTTTATGTTAACCCTAACAATACTTGTTTTGTAGATTTTACTATCTTAGATAGTAATTAATTTTATAAAAGTTAAAATGATAAATATAACAATTTAAATTATAATCAATACAATAATAAATAATAATTCCTAAAATAGAGCGATCGTACCATTTACTATCGAGATGGTTACATTTACCATCACAAGTAGTTAAAGTTACCAATTGTATTATAAGCTATTCAGTAAAAGTAAGCACTGAATTAATATCAAAAACATTATCAATAATAGAATAATAATAATCTATATTATTATGAGAATAAGCAAAATTTTGTGGCCAGGGTGTTTATATGCCAGGGCATGTGGATACTCAAATGAAAGCTCTTGATGAGTGTAATATCGAGATGAGCTTACATCTTAAAAAATATCAATAATTAAGAAATGACCTTGTATCTTGTGAACTATTGACATTTTTTAAGATATAAGCTCATTCCGATGTTACACTCATCGAGACCTTTCATTTGAGTACCCACATCAATTTTTCATATATTTTATATATTATATATATGTAAATATGAAAAATATATCAAAAATGTATGTGCGTAATCAAATGAAAGCTCTTGATGGGTGTAACATCGGGATGAGCTTATATCTTTAAAAACGTCAATAGTTAAAGAAGTACAGTGCAATTTAAGAAAACTCATTATTTCATGAAGCAAAATTTTATTTATTTATAGTTCACAAGTCACAACAGTCACATAGTGACTGCAAGGTTGCTAGTAATAATAATAATAATAATAATAATAATGTGGTGGTAGACATAAACTGAAAATTAAAATTAATTTTTTTTCACTCTAAATAATATTAGAAATTACTTTTATTTAATATAAATATCAATTTGATAAAATATAAACTCTGATGGTAATAATTATCATCAAAGATTGTAGAAATTATTAATTTGATTTTAAAAAAATTATTATCAAGATATTTAATCAAATTATCTTAGATAGTTGAAAATACAATCTTATAGTAATATAAAAGATGGTAAAAATTACCATATTGGTGGTAACTGTAATAATTTATATCGTATTTATAATAATAAAAGGTAGTATTTGTCACTATCGAAGTATTTTAGAGCTTTTTATTTTACAATACTCAGATGATAGTATTTACCATAAGATTCTCTCCGTGTATATACTATGCATTGGCGGGGTGGAGTGGTAATAGAAAGAGAAGGGATGAGAGAACGAAAAGAAAGAGGGAGAAAGAGAAAGGTATTATACACTACTCGTCTGTGTATGCGACTGTCGCGCCTGCGCACGTCTCATTTAACGGTTTTATTCCATGCATTTTTCTTACGGTGTTTTACTATCAACACATTTTTTTCAGTTCGGTCACGCAGCAAAATCTCCCTATCCCCTCCAAGCCTGCCGTAAGGAACTTCGTTCCAAAAAAATAGGACTATTTTTAATCATACTTTAAATATTCGCTCAAACGTATTTTTTAATTAAATAAAACTCTTTGAAGATACAAAGGTTTGGATAACTCGAAAACAATAAATGTCGAGTAGTTGATTGCAGTTGATGATGTAAAGAGATCACGATTAATAGGACATATGAACTGTACAGCAAATTAATTTATTTGTTAGCTACTATTGAGTTGAGTATTCACACTAATCATAAAAAAGTTTAACTAATTTGATGATAACGAATCAACAAGCAACAAACGAATTGCATATAAACAAAATAGTTATATCAATATTGAAGCTTACTGAAGAATTTTCGATGAAATGCTAATTCACTAAAATTGACGCTTGAATTTTATCACGAAAATGTAAATCTTACAATTTTTTACACCAAGCAATATTAATTTTTAGAAAATATTGAATATAAAAAATAAACAGTTTTTAAAGTAGAAAAGTGATAGTAATAAAATGATAATTTTATTAAACGCATCAACGATTTTATTCAAGTAGCTTCATTACATTTTTATTGAAAAAGTCCTTTTATTTTTAATGTTTTTTTTTCAATTGTTATTCTTAAGCGCTTAATTAATGCATATCGACGGTCTAATTAGCAATTGGTCCAACTCCTTGTTTTTAAAAGGGTGATTTTTTATGATTTTGATGTAGCAATAGTCCAATTATAAATTATTTGAATGATCCAAACCAAAATATTATACCTCTATTAGAAGTTAAATTGTTTTTTAAAGTGATAATAAATTTTGAACTAATTGTTTTTTCGTACAAATGGAAGATTCTCTAAAATGGAGTTAGACAATTTGCTAATTAAAGCGTCGATATGCTATTACACTCTAATAATAATATTGAGTAACATATCAGTATAGTTTACGTTATAAGATTTTATATATATATGCATTAAAGTAATTCTTTAATTTAAGACGAGATGAGCATATCACTCCCTACAGGCACTCATTAAACTGGCTCACGGTTAAATCTAAACGAATGTACTCGTTAGCGTGCTTCATCTACAAGCTTCTGAAATCAGGTGAACCAAAGTTCCTTAGAAGTCTCTTCATTGAAGAATCTACAGATATTAGAAGATCGGAAAGAATTGCTGCTAAACAAATTAATGTGTCTTTTAAAATGCCCAATTTCTCAACTACTACTTTTGAACATTCCTTCGTAGTTTCTGCGATCCGAATTTGGAGGGACTTCCCATTTGAAGTCACAAATTTACTTAGCTTAAATTCTTTTAAAATCAGTACTTTTGAATTCTTCATGAAACGTGAACGAGAAAATGAACCTTAATTTCTAACTTTTAAAGAAGAAAATGAATCCTAATTTTCAAACCGTTTATATTCTTTTTCACATTTCTGTTTACATAAGTTTATTGTTCTAGATCATCTCAGATTATCATCTTCTATAATTTGTATTTTTTTGTATCACTGAGTTAAACTGTTAAATTTTTAAAAATTTTTAATACTCAATTTTTTATCCTCAAATTTATTTTCTTTGTTTTATTTGTCAAATTTGTATTCCAAATTAAGAAAATAATATTTCATAAAAAATAATCAATTTTTATATCTAATATTTTCTAAACTAATAGATATCTAATTTTTTCTAAACTTTATATCTTCATTAGACTTACGTGTACTTTATTATAACTCTTTTTGTATACTTTTGCCATCTGGCTATACTGCCTTGGCATTGAAATGAAATAATAAATAAATAAATAAATAAATAAAGTTGAAGCCCAAGAGAACAAATTAATTACAGTAGAACCTCTATAACTCGAACTCCAAGGGAGAGCAAAAAAAATTCGAGTTATAGAGTTTTCGAGTTAGGGAGGTGACTGCTAACTGGTTTCGAGTTAGGGAGGTGACAAACAGAAAGGAAAAAGTCGAATACATGCACATACAAAAATTCAAGTTCCATATATAATCAACATATTTATTCAAAAAACTTATTGGAAAAAATCAGTTATTTTTTTTTGCTTTAAATAAGGCTGTTCTTTATCTATTGGATTGTCTAAAACTGGTAATCCTAATCAGATACTTAAATACGGTAATAACTTAAAATTTGAGATAAAGAGGTCCAAGTGTGTGTATTCGAGTTACGGAGGTTTTCGAGTTATCGAGGTTCTACTGTATTTTATCTCTACTCCGGATATATTGTTGCAGATATTTTATACTCGATTATATTGCCATATACTCATGAGATGCAGTTATTTTCTATCTTAATTTTGCTCATAAATGATAATCCACACTACTCGAAAACAATACACAGAAAAAAAAATTTACTTGAATCAAGTAAATAATTTTGAAGAACTAAATCTTCTTGATTTGAGTAGAAAAATTTTTAAACCAAGAAATTTTTCGTGGTTTAAATAAATTTTACTTGATTCAAAAATTTTTCATCTTGATTCAAGACAATGAAACTTTTCAAAATTATTTTTTTGGTTCAAGAATTTTTTACTTGATTCAAGGTAATTTTTTTTTCTGTATACTGTTTATATTTGTACTCAAAATATAATTTTTTCTTAAATTGTCAATCTAAACCATTCTTGAATCCACTTGAAGACACACAAAAAATTTCATTAAAATCGGTCCAACTTAGGAAGAGTTCAGTGACAAACACACGCACAGAAGAAGTATATATTTTGAAATTTTGAAATTTCAGCAAAAATTTTATTTTTATTTTTTTTTTTATTTATTTATGATTTAATGCCAAGGCAATGGCCAAATTGCAAAATATACATTTCAATTATATTAAAGTACACGTAATGAGTAATAAAAATATTATTATATTGTTTTACAATTTCATTTAGTATATTTTTCTGAGAGTGGTTTAATATTTAAAAAATTTGAAAAATGAAAACTTTAGTATGTAATATACTCAACAGATCTTTGCAAGAATAATTTATGTAGATAGACAAAATAATTTAATTTGTATATATGATTAATTTGCTGTTTAAGACTGATAGCAGGTAGATTCCTTGATAGCAAACACAAAAGAAAGTAGTTTTTTAGCAAGTAAGTTGATCCAAAAATTAAACTGAGCTAGGTAAATTTGTGAGACGTTCATGGTTGGCCTTCTCGTTCCTTGTGAAGAAAAAATTCATAGGAACTGGTCTTGAAAGTATCAAGACTCAGTGAGTTAATTATTTCAATTGGTAATTAAAAAATGCTTAAACAAAACTCATGTTAAAAAATTCTATGAAAATCAAATAAATCCCTTACGTTCAAAATATCTGAGGAAATGCCCAAACACAACTCCTGTTAAAAGCGGAACTCAAAATGTCAATTTTAAGTGGTCCATCACGGAAGTTGAATTTTGGCACCCCCTCATAAAGATAGTAATAATTAAAAATAAAAAAAAAATTATTTTTGTATGATCAAATGAGCATTACAAGTCTATACTTTTGAATTTTCCAAACTTGTTTAATTGTTAAATTTTGTTACAGATTATTTAGCATAGATGGAGAATTAATAGAAGTAACAGAACAGTTTAGAGATGGAACCGCATGTGCTTACAGCGCTTATTATTCAACAAACAATGCAAATCCAAGTCCTCGGGGTCAGCGTATAGAATTGCCAATGACAATCCGGGTGTTTGGATCAGAAGACCTAAAAAGTAGTCTTCAAATAAAATATTATAGGTCAGATGACCACAAACACTGTGAATATGGCTCTAAGTTGCATTGTATTGAATTAGATTGTTCGAGTTTAGACGGCAATCTTGCTACTGTCGACAAAGAAACTTATAAAAAAATTGGCGTTGATCCATAGCATTCACAGTCAGGATCTCCCTCAGAGATCGCATCGTTAAACGGAATAAACACTATTAATAAAATTTAAATTCATTAAAATTTTCTCATGTTATTATATATGCTTCAATTACAATGTTATATATTCTACCTCAATTTATGATACATTTTAATTAACAAAGCTTTGTCCTAGGACATGAAGAAAAATAAACATCTAAACGTCGTTGTTTACAACTCTTGATTAAAATTAAATGTTTCTCTGTATATTCTTATCAAGAATAAAAATAATATATTTATCTATTGTATATATATATATTAAATATATAATTATTTATTACAATTAATATATACATATATAGCTTATTAATTAATACTTAATCTAAATATTTTATGGAAAAATTTATTGAAAGTTGGAATAAAAAAAAAGTCAGTTGTTGCATGAAACAAATATTAAATTTAAAGGAATAAATATAATACATTTCGTCCCGTTTCTGTGTAAACCTCGTATCTACAAAATCGTAATTTTCGGTAAATCGATAAAAACGTTTAGAGTTACTTAATTTTTATAATAAGTTATAACTAATCCAAAATTTATGCTCTTTATCAATCACCTTAAAAGAATTAAACATGATTTTTGCTATCTGCATCGATGCTTTGTTGTTATTGTAAATTTCATGTAGATACGAGTTTTCTCATCAAACACCCTGGTGATTTTTTTGCAGATACGAGGTTTTGAAACAAAAAAAAATTGTTTTTTCTATAAGATCATTGGCGAAAAATTCTGTTATGCAAGGCTTTCAATTATTCATTATTATTTTATATTTATTAATTTAAACAAATTTATTTGATTTTGATTTAATATGTTATAAATCATGTGATTACTATTTATAATATGATTTAATTATTTTTAACTTCCCGCTAAGAAAATCGGAGATCTTAAAAAATCGGGAAGTTATTGGTTTTACCCCCTTTTGTAAAAATTGATTTTTCACTAGATCTCGACGTTTCAAGGTCTCAGGAAGCTTCTTTAACCACCCCCGTGATGGTGTCTGTACGTCTGTATGTATGTATGTGTGTATGTGTGTGCGTGGATGTATGTAAACCTCTCATAACTTTTGAACGGCTTAACCGATTTTATCGCAGTTGGTGCAATTTGGAAGGGCTTGACTGAACTTAGATTTTGAATATAATTTGGACTGATTCGCACTGGTAGATTTTAAGAAATCTCAAAAAAACTACGAAAAAAATTTTTTTTTTAATATGGTTTTTTTGGAATAACTTTTAAACGGCTTTACCGATTAATTCCAAAAACTAATTAGCTCTTACTATTAATAAACCACGTCGATTGCTGTCAGTCCGGTCAACATCGGTTGATTCGTTCGTGAGTTATCGTTGATGAAAGAAAACCGAAAAAAGTGTTTTTTCGGAATTACTCCGAAATTCGTGGTTCGATCAAATTGAACTTAAAGATTTTTTATGAGGCTTAAAAAATTTCATTGAATGTCACCAACCGCGTAAAAATCGTTCCATTTATTCAAAAGTTATCGCGGTTTGAAAATTTAAAAAATAGTGTTGTATCAAACTTCTATCAGACTTTTGAGCTCGAAGAGCTAAATAATATTTGTATGTATTTATAAGTGTGAACACGTTTACAAACATTCAGTATCAAGACAACAACGCCATTTTAACGTTTTCGGCGATACTTACGGTAGATACGAGGTTTTTGAATTCGAATATGTAGATACGAGAAAAATCAAAAGCCTCTAAAAAAAATTCTATCATCTTTATGAACATTGCATGTTTTGTTTTACGTTACAAGAGTGCTAAGGAGTGATTTTCGCTAAAAATCTCAATTTCGAAAAAAATGGAGATACGAGGTTAACACAGAAAGGGGACGATTTGACGTTTATATAAGTACCGTCCAATCGAAACAAAAAGTCAATTTCATTGTTCACTAGTCTTCACAAACTTCACAATCAAAAGTCAACAAAATGATAGGATGTATTTGTGGTTTAAAATCGATAAGTCGAGAATTCATTTACTTTAATAAATTATACTCGACGAACAATATAAATTTATAAGCCGATATTGCTTTTTATTAATAACTTATCAAATCTATAAACCTTGATTGAAAATGTTCATTGAAAAAAATTAAAAAAATTCGCTCTATTCAAATTATATATTTATAAATTATATACTGAGAAATTGAAATAATTGAAAAAAAAAAAAAAAATACAAATCTCATGATAATACATTTTTTTCAATGAATATTTTTAAACAGGGAAATTAATTGTAATGACAATGACGGTTTCACACTTTACAGTGAATAACGAAAGAAAAGTGAAGAAAAAATACAATTATTTTTGTAACTCTGTAGTTACATAAAATCAGTATTAACTTTTAAAAATCAAGCTATATTTTCGCTATTGTATTTATTGATAAGACCAATGTATCTAAATATATTTGTAAAGAAACTAATTTAAATATAATTAACAACAATAAAAATTTTAAAAACCTATCCTTGTATTATTTATAAAATTACATTAAGAAAAAAAATACTTCTTGACACAAAAGCATGTATTCTTGACATTTATTAATAATATATATTCTTGTCTGAAAAATTGATTGAATTGATAAAAATAGTTTTCATTTGATTTAAAAATAAAATTTATTCTAATGTAAAAAGATTTTTTTACATTTTGGGAGCTAAAACAAGTGGACATTGAAAATTTTCGTTAAAAAAAATTTAGTTTTTCAAGATAGAGATTATAGATCATAGATCACAATCAGCATACTTGGAACTCAACAACTTAGATACCTTCTCAGTAAATTTTGACTTGAAAACAATAAAATAATTAGGTTGATTTGTATTCGTATAAAAAGTCACGGTACTTAAAACCCTAAATCCTAGACATCCCCGTACGTTTTAATAAAAAAATATAATAATCTCAAGGCCAATTTTTGTAAGAGTGATAATTCATTCAAGGTATTTGGAATTCGACATCCTAGACATCTTCTCCATAGATTTTGACGGAAAAAATTAAATAGTTGAGAATATATTTTCTTGTATGAAGAAAAATTTTTATTTAAATCCAATAAAGTTATTTGTTTGTTTATTATAATGGAGGTAGATATTTATATTGTTTTGTCAAAAAATTAATTAACAAAATGGTTAATTTAAATAAATTATTGAGCTAAGAAATCTTAATCTTAAAAAAATTTTTTTTTATTCTCAGTGTAAATGGATAATACAATTTTAATACAACCAAACATATGTGAAGTCAGGTAAATGTTTGATTAAAAACTTTTTTTCAATTCATGATTCTTCAATGATTCTAACAGAATAATTTCATAAATTTTTTAATTTTTTCTTGAGTTACAAGTTACAAGGAAGGTATTTTTTTGAGTTCTTATTCAAGTTGCAAGAAATAAATTTTCGTTACTATTTACTTGAACAATAGACTGTTTTACATTTCGAAGTCTCTGCAACAAACAAGAAAAAATTTGTCCATTGTGTATTTAAGTGAAAAATCGACTTCCATTTCGGCTTCCCAATTGCCTCTTATTTTATTCATATTTAAATGTTGAGTTTAAATTTAAACGCGCGATAGTAAGAAACATGGAATAAGAAATAAAAAATAAATATTTTCAGAGTAAAAGCTATCGAGATGACTGAAAACTGAGAGAAGTTTACACGTGAAAGCTTTAGTAAAAAGAAAAATAAAATTATAGTGAGTAAATATATTTAAGTTCAAGTAAATACATTATAAAGAAAAAAATTCTATTGAATCAAGTGCATATTTAAAAGAAAAGAAAAAAAAAAAAAATAATAGAATAATTTTTTTTTAAAAAGTATTTGCTCAATTCATTTTTAATAAGTTACTGTGCAACTTTACAATAATTATGAATAAATTAATATTGAAAAATAGACAAATATTTCAATTGAGCGTTATTTTTCACCTACATGAAATGTACCTAATCAAAAATGAATTTATTTTATCGAAACATAATTTTTGAAGCGATAAAACAATTATTATTTTTTTTTAACTTAGTTCTATTTGAATTAGTATTTATCATTGAAATATTTTTTAATAATAAATTTTGTAAATAGATTATTTTAGCTGTAAGAATTAACTCTTGGTATAGGATCGTTTTGGAGCAAAAATTTCATTTTTAACTTTTTTATTCGTTTTTCTAAACAAAAATAATTACAACAGTATCATTTTTTCATTTAAAACATTTATTTTATAACGATACATTAATAATTTCATGTTATTTTATTTAATACTTTTAATTAACGCGTATAAAAAAGAAAATAATAAAACACTCGATCAAAAAATTTTAAGAAACAGAGACGAGATGAAGAAAAAAAATTTTTTTTAATCAGTTTTTACTCTATGTAACAAATTATTTTAGATCATTAAAAATTGTTAATAAGAATTGTGAATCTGTCCTTAATAAAATTGCTTAAAAATATTAAAATAATTTCTAACATTTACTTCTTACTACTTTTTATTGTTTATTTTTTATAAAATCTATATACATTAAAACACTTACATTGTTTCAATTTGACTGTATTTATAAAATTACTTCTTATAATATAAGCCTAAACCATTAGTAACAGCATTCTGTAATTAGTTGAATAATTTGTTCTTTGATAATAGTATGCAAAACATCACTACGCATAAAATAACTCGGAATAAGTAAATATTTATATATAATAATCTAGATATTGACAGAATATTCTCGAGGAATTTGTACTCGGAGGCATTGTGTTTCGGTATTCTATTATTTCTAGTAAGAATAATCAGCTTTGATCTTAACGACTTTTAATTATTGCGGTTCAAAAAATTATCCAAAGAATTTAATTAAAATTTTGTATTCTAGTATTTAAACAACGTTAAAGAGAATTTGATGTAGAACTTGATGAATACTGATAAGTTTTGTCATCACAAATATTTATTTTTTTTTTTTTTTTTTTTAGTAAAATTAATTAGCTTAAGTTTTAATAAGAGTAACTACCACAAATAAATGGAAAAAATCAATTAAAAATTATAATATTGAAAATATTCAAATCCACCGTTTAGAGGCACCACTACCCAACCCTGATAGCTGTACAAGTATTTCAATTAAGTTGTAGTATAAAGTTGAAAGGGAATTTAACTCCAAATTTGAATGTAAATACAAACTTGTGCAAAAAAAATTCTGATTCAAAATGAATTTAAGAATGAAATTCATATTTTGACACAAATATGAATTAGTTTTGAGATCAATCCAAATTTAAAATTGATTTGTAGATAAAAATTAGCATGCCTGTAGAACTTTTGATCCTGCTTCAGAATTTTAATAAAGACAAAAATATTTAGGATAAATTTTATATATAAAATATTCTAAAGTCTTATAAGTTAACGATAACTGCGGAAAGTCAACTACTTTCTAAGAAAGCCTAGCTATCAGGGTAGTGTTGGCATAACATGATATGGACCAGGCATCATTGAACGATTTGGGAAGTATGATCCTGCTATTTGAGGAGGCATATTAGCTTGAACATTCATAGAAGGTCCAGGAATTCTCAATCCTAAATTATCAACCACCGATTGTTGAAGCGATTGCTGCGAAGCTGATTGTAATTGCTCACGTTTTTGACGTCTTTCCTCTAGTCCTTTTGTAATTGAATAAATCTTTTCTGCAAGTAGATGCATGTACTCCGATCTAGAATTAGCTGATTCATACATATCACGTTCTACTTTTATGGCATATCTGTATGAATTGTGTACTCTATCGTCAAAAAATACCATTCTGTTGTTAGGCGTCAATATTCTTTTAACAATATCAATAATAAAATGTATCCTTAAATCTAACGTCAGGCTTTGATGCCACTCTTTCACGACTTGTGTTGGTGTAGCTTGATCTAGTCCCCGGAGACCTAACGGTATGTCTAGCGGTTGATTTCCATTCAATGTAGCTGGTTGTAAATTATCTGATACTTCTGCACTCTCTGCGGTCGTTGTAATTCCAATTGGAGCAGGTGGAAGGTTTGCATCAGATGCCATTATATGTGATTGATTAGCAACAATTTCGCGTTTTCTACGTCTGTCTTCAATTTCAATTCGACTTGAAATAATTTTATCAACGAGTAACTGGCTGTATTCAACCTCGGAGTTAGCCGTGTTATATATTTCATTTTCAGCTTTTTGGGCATAATTCAACAAATGATTGAGCCTATCATCAAATATCGACTCTGCATGTCCATTTGTAAATATTGCTTCAATTAAGCAATTGACGTTTTCTTTTCTTTTTTCTTCAGATAAAGATAGTTGCCAATCTTTTACTTGCTGAACTGGTTTAACTTGAGTTTGTAAGTACGACGATTGGTCTCGTATAGGTACAGTGTAGGTACATTGGTTTAGTGTAGGTACTCTATTATTAAAAGTTTGAAAGTTATTCAAATAATGAAGATCAGATCTAGGTAAATTTACAGGTCTATTGGTTAAATTCAATGAATTTGATGTATTGGAAGTAGAAAATGATGTGATAGATGACTGAGCTGACACTGGTAATCCCTGATTAACTACTGATTGGTTAAAACTTGATTGAGCTTGAGGATAGACAAATTGCATTTTTGTAGACTCTATACCTGAAGGACATTGCATACAATTAGTTGATATTTTGTTCAAGTCAGTACTAATATATAAACTGAGCCAACATGCTCGATAACTTTTATTGCTTGTAATTTTATTTAATTTATTTGTTTACGGATCAGTAATATTATTGACATTATATTAGTTTAGTTATAATTTTTTAAATGACGAATAATTGTGTTAAAAGTTATTGATGTTCTTTACACCTGATTCTTATTACGAATTTTTATAAATTTATTGCTAATAATAGAAACTTACCAGATTGCGAAGCTACATCAGCTACTGGTCGTTGTGTTGCTGGTTCACGATTCGATTGACCATTTGCCAGACAATTAAATTGTAGTTGATGACCATTAATTGCAGGCTCTGGTGCTGTCAATTCGTCAGGAAGAAGATTTTCAATAGTTAAACAATCTAATATGGATGAAGATTCTAAATTGGACAGTAAAAATATAATTACAAAATTTTTCATTATAATCGCATTGAAATTTCATTCAGTTTAATTGACTGTCTATTCATATTCGATACTTTGTATTAAGAATTTGCCAGAATAAATTAACTCTGTTGCAGTAAGTTGTTGCCAATGCAGCCAACAAAGTATTTTTGAATTTAAGCTTTATGCATGGTAATATAACTTATTACTTACCCATTTCAATGAGATTCGCTTTTCAATCCTTCGATAAATTGTGTCACGTTGATTTAAATTCTACTTGATAATATAATTATTTACATACTACGTACAAAATATTGTAGAATTTAGACCTAAACGTGATACTCCATTTGCTGTATGCAGTTTTGGCTCAAGTCGCGATTGATCAACCTTGATTGATGTATTGGGAAACTTAGAACTTTGATACGCCAACTAGCGGTTCAAAGTGTAACTACTCAAGGTAGGCTAATTTTGTGTACATGTGTACATGTGTTGCCTACTTTTGCCTACTTTGAGTAGTTCATTTTTAAACACCAGAGGTCTAATACCGAAGCCACGCCCATCCTAAGGATCCCAATAGATTAAGTTGTGTAATACAAAAAATATAATAACATTTTATATTTTAATTTATCTTTGAAAAATTCAATAGTTTTATTTTCATAAAATTAAATAATAATTACTTACTATACTTTTTAAAAATAAAAAATAAATCGTCGTATAAATTGAAACGTACAATGATGAATGAACCAAACACCGAAACACCGCTCAAGCAAAACCGTAAATAAAAAATCTTTTTTCCGAAAAACAGAAAAAAAATCTACAGTAGATACTATAGTTTGACGCACTATAGCGTACGAATATCCGAACAAAAACAGATGTACATATTTAATTAACGGAGTTTCTCACTATTCAAGGCGTAAATTTGAGCATCAAAAGTTTTTGCCCACTATGAAAATGTATCACATTGTTAATGTATCCATTACGGAGTACAATAATTCGCAGGCATGCTCAAATTATGTAATGAAAGACAAATTGAATGGAATGAATTATAATCGATGCAATCGTGAAGTTAAATGTGGTAAAGGTCGATATGGAATGCTTATGGACAGAGACGTAAATTTGTCTAAAAATGTTTACTTTACAGGCGAGACCAGTGATTGCAGTTTCAATTGGTTTAGCGAAACGAATGGAAATTTTGAAAAAAAATTTTTAGAGATAATAGATAATTTAATAAACTATTTCACCACAAAGCGTTTTTTTTTTTTAATTTCTTTCGTTTCGTGAAACCAATCGAAACTGCAATTGCTCTGCTGTTGGGAGTGCGACAGAGATAGTTTCGTTGAACTCCGTGAGAGCAAAGCGAGAAAAAGATGGTCTCGCCTGTAATTAGTGTACATCGTTGACGGCTAAGAGAAGAACAAAAAGAAGGACACACTGTATTTCTTGATAATGTCATATAATTTAGCAGATATTGAATAATTTAAAAAATTTTTTTGACAAATAAATTATAGCAAAAAAAATTATAATAAAAAATTGACATGCATGTAAAAATTTAAAAAAATTGAAAATGCAATTTTTTTAAAATAATTTTTCGCAACGAATTTATCGGTCAAAAAAAACTAAAAAATAATCAAGTGACTGATGACTTTAATGTCATTCCTAGATAATAAGAAAACTAAAAAGAACAAAAAGTCGAAACCACGGACAACAAAGATTACAAGTTAACAAGGAAAAACAATAAAGGCAGGCAGCAGCAGCAGCATAATATATATATATAAAATTATTCTGGGAATATCTATTCACTTATGGATATAAAAAATTCAATATATATACAATTTTTCAACAATAAGGAAAAATAATATGATGGGATATATTTTACGTAAATAAATGATTAATAATTATAAATATAATTATATTTTTTTAAACGTAAACATTAGATAATTGATTTATACAATAATGTTAATTAAATACAAGAAGATCAACGATTAGTTTTAAAAATTATTTATTCGTTTACACTTCTTTTATTTACGACAAATTTGTTTTCTTTTGTATTACTTACCATTTGGTTTATAAATCTCAAAAAAAATCATTCAAGTAAAAAAAAATAATAAATAAGATAGTATCTATATATACACGTCTTTTATCATACATTATCATATATAATAAACAAAAAAAATGAAATGAAATGCAGTAAAGAAAAATTACTATAAACTTGAAAAAGCATAAATTATGTCTAGATTTTTTTTTTTTTCAATTCTGTAGCACAAATTATTTCTATAGAATACTTATCTTAAATAAATTATTAATTATTAATTCAATACTAAGTATAACAAAATAATAATAATGCATAATGTAATAATTTCACCCTTATGTCCCATAACACCTTGGGATCCAGTAACAGGCGACGAATTCGGTTTAAGACCAGGATGTCCGTAAGCTTGTTCATTAAAAAACCACCATAACCCAAATGTAGCTTCATTGGCCTTTGTTGCCCATAAGGCGGTGCTGGTGGTTGGGTAAACGGATGTTGAGGCTGCTGTTGCTGTACCGTATGACTTTGCATGGTTAAAACTTATTGTTTATGCCACTGCGGATATTGAACACCAGTCACCTGATCCGATTGCTGCTGCTGTTGTTGTTGTTGTTGTTGTTGCTGTTGCTGATTTATTAGCGCATGAAGTTGCATTCGATTTGGTTGCTGTTGCTGCGGTTGCTGCTGCTGAGTATGCTGAGGCTGAAGTTGATGCTGTTGTTGTTGCGGTAACATATGTGACAAGCTAGATTGTTGCTGTTGTTGCTGCTGTTGTTGTTGTTGCTGCGGCTGTTGCTGTTGTTGAGGTTGCCCCGGACCCATTGATCCAACAACTCCACCATGCTGACCAGTCTGAACTTGTCGTTGTTTTATAAATGCTGCCATTAAAGGTGGATTACTCCTAAGTATATGTAGTGTCTGGTTTTCTTGATCTGGAGTAGTGGGACTTCGTAGCGTTTGCATAAGCTGTTGTAGGACTTGTCTTTGCATCGGTGACCCACTGCCGTGACCTTGAAGACCTACTTGACCAACGGGTCCACCAACAACGTGAGCTTGTCGTGGCATTTGACCGGCTATGTTCATTGCTGATTGCCCTTGATGCTGTTGCGGTTGCATTATTTGCTGTGGAGCTAGTGGACGGAGACCTGGATTTTGTTGCATTACAGCAATAGGTTGATACCTCGGTATCCACTGATCCATGGAAATTAGATGAGTACCATAGGGATGTTGCTGTTGTTGCTGCAGCTGTTGCTGTTGTTGAGGTTGCCGCGGACCCATTCGTCCAACAACTCCACCATGCTGACCAGTATGAGCTTGTCGTTGTTTTATAAATGCTGCCATTAAAGGTGGATTACTCCTAAGTATATGTAGTATCTGGTTTTCTTGATCTGGAGTAGTAGGACTTCGTAGCGTTTGCATAAGCTGTTGTAGGGCTTGTCTTTGCATCGGTGGCCTACTGCCTTGACCTTGAGGACCTACTTGACCAACGGGTGCACCAACAACGTGAGCTTGTCGTGGCATTTGACCGGCTATGTCCATTGCTGATTGCCCTTGATGCTGTTGCGGTTGCATTATTTGCTGTGGAGCTTGTGGACGGAGATCTGGATTTTTAAAAATTGATCATTAAAAAGATCATTAAAAATTGTTAATAAGAATTGTGAATATGTTCTTAATAAAATTGCTTAAAAATATTGAAATAATTTCTAACATTTACTTCTTACTTTTCTATTTACTTCATATAAAGATAGTTGCCAAAATTTTTCTTGCTGAACTGGTTTAACTTGAGTTTGTAAGTACGACGATTGGTCTCGTGTAGGTACAGTGTAGGTGCATTGGTTTGGCGTAGGTACAGTGTAGGTACATTGGTTTAATGTAGGTACTAATTATTGAAAGTTTGAAAGTTATTCAAATAATGAAGATCAGAACTAGGTAAATTTACAGGTCTATTGGTTAAATTCAATGAATTTGAGGTATTGAAAGTAGAAAATGATGCGATAGATGACTGAACTGACACTGGTAATCCCTGATTAGCTACTGATTGGTTAAAACTTGATTGAGCTTGAGGATAGACATCTTGTCATTTTATTTTATTTATTTAAATGATAGCTTGTAATTTTATTTAATTTATTTGTAATATGTAACGATATGCATACCATATCGTTTATTCTAACCATTTTTTCCCTAGCTAAAAAAAAAATAAAAATTCTGCGTACCATACCCGTATGGGCTTGAAACACCCATTTGACCCATATTTTGAATATTGTGCATGTTAGGTCGTGCTTGTATCCACCTTGATCCACCTTGCCCAAGATCTACAATACCTACCTGATGGACTTGATGATGAGGACTTTGACCCCGAGCTTGATTTACCATGTGAGTTTGCTGTTGCTGCTGCTGTTGTCGGAATTGTTGTAGAATTTGCGTATACTGTTGTAGGGCTTGTCTTTGCATCTGTGGCCCACTGCCTTGACCTTGAGATCCTACTTGACCAACGGGTCCACGAATAACGTTAGCTTGTCGTGGCATTTCACCGGCTATGTTCAAGGTTGATTGCCCTTGATGCTGTTGCGGTTGCATTATTTGCTGAGGAGCTTGTGGACGGAGACCTGGATTTTTAAAAATCAGTTAATTACTCTATGTAACAAATTATTTTAGATTATTAAAAACTGTTAATAAGAATTGTAAATCTGTTCTTAATAAAATTGCTTAAAAATATTAAAATAATTTCTAACATTTACTTCTTACTTTTCTATTTTCTTCAGATAAAGATAGTTGCCAAAATTTTACTTGCTGAACTGGTTTAACTTGAGTTTGTGAGTACGACGATTGGTCTCGTGTAGGTACAGTGTAGGTACATTGGTTTGGTGTAGGTACAGTTAAGGTACATTGGTTTAGTGTAGGTACTAATTATTGAAAGCTTGAAAGTTATTCAAATGATGAAGATCGGAACTAGGTAAATATACAGGTCTATTGGTTAAATTTAATGAATTTGATGTATTGAAAGTAGAAAATGATGTGATAGATGACTGAACTGACACTAATAATCCCTGATTAGCTACTGATTGGTTAAAACTTGATTGAGCTTGAGGATAGACAGATTGCATTTTTGTAGCCTGCCAGTACTAATATATAAACTAAGCAAACATGTTTGATAATTTTTATTGGTTGTAATTTTATATAATTTATTTGTTATTAGTTGCTGATGTTTATGGATCAGTAATATTATTGACTTTATATTAGTTTATTTATAATTTTTTAAATGACGAATAATTGTGTTAAAATTTATTGATGGCCTTTTCACCTGATTCTTATTACGAATTTTTATAAATTTTTTGCTAATAATAGAAACTTACCAGATTGCGAAGCTACATCAGCTACTGGTCGTTGTGTTGCTGGTTCACGATTCGACTGACCATTTGCCAGACAATTAAATTGTAGTTGATGACCATCAATTGTAGGCTCTGATGCTGTCAATTTGTCAGGAAGATCTTCAATAGTTGAAATATCTAATTTGGATGATGATTCTAAATTGGACAGTAAAAATATAATTACAAAATTTTTCATTATAATCGCATTAAAATTTCATTCAGTTTAATTGTCTATCTATTAATATTCGATACTTTGTATTAAGAATTTTCCAGAATAAATTAACTCAGTTGCAGTAAGTTGTTGCCAATGCAGCCAACAAAGTATTTTTGAATTTAGTTAATATAAATTATTACTTACCCATTTCAATGAGATTCGCTTTTCAATCCTTGGATAAACTGTGTTACGTTGATTTAAATTGTACTTGATAATATAATTATTTACATACTACATGCAAAATATCGTAGAATTTGGACCTAAACGTGATACTCCATTTGCTGTATGCAGTTTTGGCTCAAGTCGCAATATCGATCAACCTTGATGTATAGGTTAAGTTGTGTAATACAAAAAATATAATATTATTTAAAATTTTAATTTATCTTTAAAAAATTCAGTAGTTTTATTTTCATAAAATGAAAAATAATAACTTATTATACTTTTTAAAAATAAACATAAGTAATCGTATAAATTAAAACATACAATGATGAATGAACCAAACACTCCAAATACCGCAAATAAAAGATCCTTTTTCCGAAAAAAAATCTATAGTAGATAATATAGTTTGACGCACTATAGCGTATGAATATCCGAAAAAAAAAAAAAAAAAAACAGATATCTGATTCAGAAAGATAATTTGAAATGATTACCTCCATGTTAATTGTATATCTATATACTATTCAAATCCGATGCATTTAATTTATTTCAAATTAGATTTCTTAATCAGGGATATACATTTAGCGGAGTTTCTCACTATTCAGGACGTAAATTTGAGCATCAAAAGTTTTTGACCACTATTAAAATGTATCACATTGTTAATGTATCAATTACGGAGTAGAATAATTCGCAGGCATGCTCAAATTATTTAATGAAAGACAAATTGAATGAAATGAATTATCATTCCTTGATAATAAAAAAACTAAAAAAAAAACAAAAAGTCGAAACCACGGACAACAAAGATTGCAAGTAAACAAGGAAAAACAATGAAGGCAGGCAGCAGCAGGATGAAACCAGCTTCATCCTCCACCCATTAATTTTAAAGCACACTACACTGTATAAAATCGACGACTATACAATTGGCGAAGTTAGTTTTCTAGTGATGCTTGTGTCTTACAGGCAGCATTGACTTGTTGCTTATTGAAGAGCTAAATTGATTCTAATAACTTCTCCTAAAATATTGCCCAAGAAAAATAAATATGAATAATTACCACTATAATTATACATTTCAGCTAGATACCACATTGAATAATATTTGTCGGTTGATGAATTTGAGACTTCATTAAAAAATTCTCCATTAAATTCTATTATTACATTAGATTCTACTATTATCAATTCAAACTTTTTGAATTTATACGCTTTATACACATGCATAAAAAGTTTTCAATCACTTATTAAATCTTGATAATTAAAACGACGTCAAATAAATTACAAATTTGAACTTAATTACTTTAAAAATTGAAGATTAAAATAAGGATAAAATCAGTGCAATTTGTAGATTTATTATGTTGAATTATTATCTGATTTGATGACATCAAAATTCTATATTTTCAAATTATTATTTTCTATAATAAATTCTACGTTTAATTTGATTTTACCATGTTTATATACGAATTATTTAAATTAATTTTTATGTAATACTATATTATGTACTCACAGAAACAGAAATTGTTTTCTTGTAAAAACTGTATATACTATGCAATAGAAATTGCCATTTGGTCTGTGCCTTGGCATCAATAAACAAAATCTATAAATCCATAAATCTATTTGTAAAAAATATGAAAAATAACATTTATTATCATATTAGCAATCTATAAAATGACACTTAAATAAAATCTGTTCATTTGACGTTATTATAGAGTTTATTCTGATTGTTTATTGGCTACAATCTAAATTATTTTAATTTTATCTAAATTCAAATTGTATTAAAGTACAAAAATGATTTTCTAATTAAAAGAATACTTATACTTTTCTTTACTTATTAAATGAAGATATGTGTATACTTCTTGTTTTAATTAAAAATCTTTTTTAAAATTTTTTTTTGTTATACTTCGTCAATGTTGTAATAATGAATATAGATTATAAAATGAAATAATAATGCGACAACATAAACTAAAACGATTAAACGTTACCATCTCTTGGAATCGTACAAAGCTGCTTGCCATAACAACACAACACCTGAGGATTAAAGGTATATTTCCTGCCGCAACAATAGCCCAATGCTTGCATTACTGGGTCAATTTCTTGTTCAAATACTTCCGATAACTATGAAGTAAGCAAAAAAAAATTTAATTAATTATTTAATATAAAAAATTCATCACAATTTATAATGTAATTAATGAGATAATTAATTGTACCTTTGTACAGTATCTGTAGACTCGTGATGTTTTACGATTATAAAGCCATGCATTATCAAACATCATCCAAACATCATCGACATACTCCCAAGGATCGCTGTATTCACCGGTGTCAAGCTTCCTTTTAATAGTAGAGAGATCCATTGGGTGCTTGACAATGTCAAAGTAATCTGGAATTTCCAGTGCTAGTGGATCAACTGGCTGTCTGAAAGACAATGATTCGGGATCTTGACGATATAGTTTTTCCAAAATTCGCATCTACGCCTGTCTTAATTCATCTGGCTTGAAAAGAAAAAGACATTTTTTGCTATCTATGAAAATTCTTTCCTAATTCATGGCATAAGAATTTGGAATTCATTACCGGGAGATATTACAGAAATTGACACCTTTGAAAATTTTAAGCAAGCTTGTTTTAATTTCTTCTTGCGATCAATATGATTACCATTGATCTTATAAGTTAAGATGATAGCTATTAATTAATGTTGATTTTCAAATTGTACTGCAAATGCTGTATCAAATGTATACTTGTAAATAATTAACTTTATGTATTGTTGATGGTCCTGAAGGAGCTTAGAACTCCAGGATCAAATAAAATTTATTATCTATCTATCTATCTATCTGAGGTTCCACTAGATGATGATTCCACTGATGATGAAGGCGCTATCGTTTGAGGTGTATTTACAGAGATTCCATTATCAACTGGTGTTGTAGCAGACAATGGTTGAGTATTTTTGAACTGTTGTTGATTGCTTTGCTGCTGTATAGTACTAAATAGTGATGGAGCTTGAGGAATGCTCGCAGCATTGACATTCGGTATAGGGGTGGAGACTTGTTGTTGCTGTTGTTGTTGTTGCTGCTGTTGTTGTTGTTGAGCTTGTTGTTGCTGCTGCTGAACTTGTTGTTGTTGTTGTACAGCTTGAGCTTGCAACCTCGCTTTCATCAGCTCTAGGAATTGAACAGGAGACATGTTCGGTAAGACCGCTGTACCATTAGATGTCGGGAACTGACTAGTTGTCGCTGACGTCGATGATGTCGTTAAGTTTGCCTGCGGCATTTGTTGTGCAAAAGGAATGAGAGGATTTGATACCATAGGTGCATTTGATGCGACTTGACCGTTTGGACTAGGTCCAGGAGGACCTACTAGCATATTGGACTGCTGTTGCTTAACTTTCTGCTGTAATTGTTGTTGAACCTGTTGTGTAACTTGCTGCTGCTGCTGTTGTTGTTGTTGTTGTGATTGCTGTGATTGTTGTTGAGGAAAAGGCATACGATTGTGTTGCATTGCAATCCCTTGCAAAACGGCATACAAGTAAAACTCGTAATAATAATAATAATAATAATAATAATAATAATAATAATAATAATAATAATAAATAAATAGTGTATGCATATTAACACCTTACTGCTGTTGTTGAGGTACAGCAGCTGGAACACCTGATGGGGGAGCAATAGCTCGTAATCCAGGAGCAGCAGCAACCTGTGCTTGAGGCTGTAGTTGTTGCTGCTGAGCTAATTGCATTTCTTTACGCTTTTGACGTTTTTCTTCTAGCTCTTTTTGAATTTTATAAATTTTTTCCGCCAATAAATGATAATACTCGGATCGTGAATTAGCCATTTCATACATATCACCTTCAACTTTTCTCGCATACGCCACTAAATTATGAAATCTTTTATCGAGCATTGCTTGTGGATCTGGAGCTGGAAATATTACTTGAACTAATTGATGAACAAGATGATTTCTGAGATCTGGCGTTACTGATTGATGCCATTCTTTTGTTCCTTGTACTGGAGTAGCTGTTACTTGACCCGGTTGAAGACCACCAGGTAATTGTAAATTTGTCAATCTATTTTCATTTGATAAATTAGGCTGACCTGAATCATTAGGACTAAATAGTGCATGCATATTAACAGTTTGCTGCTGCTGTTGAAGATTGGCAGTCGCCGCTACTGCCACGGCAGACGTTGGACCCGTCGTTGAAGCTGATTGGTTAGTACTTACGGCTACAGTCATTGGATCGGAACTTAATGGAAGAGATACATTTGGTGCGACGGATTGCACTTGATTAACTACCGATTGACCTGGACTTTGCTGAGCTTGAGGTTGTGCAAGTCTTATTCCTGCAGCCATCGAACCAGGAGGACCAGGTATACCCAGGCCAGACATTCTCACACCACGACCTACTGCCTGGTTAGATAAAATACCAGGTGCCGTTTTTTGACACTGTATCATACCCACAGTTTCAAAAGGTTTTCTTATGTCGGGATTTGGATTTGGTTGGCTATTTGGCTGGTTTGTTACCACAGCTGGAAGAGATTTTTTTAAAGGTTATTTTCAAGTATAATTGAAACAATAAGTGGAAACAAAAAAAAAATAATTATTGTTATTATTAAAAAAAATACAAACCAGCACGAGAATTAGCAGTCTTGTTTTTGTCCGCTTGTTTGAGTAGTAAGCAAACAGGACAATCGCTCTTTTGACACTGTTTCCAATGAGTGATGATCTGTCTGGATGAACTGCAATGTGGTATTGTACACTCTTTGCCCTCTTCGCAGGTCGTCATATGAGTCAGTACATTCTTCATAGTTTTGCAGTGGGGTAGCGAACATTTCCACGGTTCACCGTTGGCCTGGCGTTCTCGTATCTGGCATTAGTGGGAGTGGAGCAGGAGGACGAGCTGCTGCTGGATTAGTTTACGGTGCTCTGGATCATGAGTAGAAGATGTAGAACCTGGTTATTATGCACCGAGGATTATTTAACATACAATAAATCGTCTTATAAAAAGAACGATTTTTTGATTACTACAACTAAAACATATCGGATTGCGTACTTCCACCAGCTACTGGTCCCTGTGTGGCTTGTTGAGGATCCGGTTGACCACCCGTTGGCGCACCGGACTGTGGTTGAGCAGGACTTGGGGTGGGCTGTTGACTTTGCTGGACCATCCCTTCTTGGCCGCTTACGACATTTCCAACATCTATTGGACCACTTGGACCACCAGGACCGCCAAATCGTCCGACAGACATGGCTCTCATGTTAAACCCGACCCCTCCTCTTTGCTGGGGGGCAACTACGGAGACAGGATTGACAGCTCGTACATTCATTATAGTACCTGGACCGCTTCCAGGGGTACCTATCTCACAAGCATATGTCAAATCCACATACCATATCGTTTATTCTAACCATTTTTTCCCTAGCTAAATAAAAATATAAAAATTTTGCTTACCATATCCGTATGGGCTTGAAACACCCATTTGACCCATATTTTGAATATTTTGCATGTTAGGTGGTGCTTGCATCCTCGATCCACCTTGCCCAGGACCTACAATACCTCCCTGATGGACTTGATGATGAGGACTTTGACCCCGAGCTTGGTTTACCATGTGAGTTTGCTGTTGCTGCTGCTGTTGCTGTTGTTGTTGAGCTTGCTGCTGTTGTTGGACTTGTTGCTGTTGCTGAACTTGCTGTTGCTGTTGTTGCATAACTACTCGATTCATTAAACCTTGACCTGAACCATTTTGCATTTGAGTAACACCATGAGGACACTGTGGATGATGAACTCCTTGTGAGTTTGGACTCATCATTGTCACCTAATTAATCAGAAAATCAAGTATTTCAGTGATATAAAAATTCATATTGACATTAGCATATGGGTGATTCTCTGTAAAGACGTCTTAAATCTGTACAAAATTGTCCGACCACATTATTTTTAATTTTATTAGAAAAAAAATTAACAAGAGCTACAAAGCTATCAGCTTAATGATATTAATTACACAGCCGATAAAATTTTTTTTTTTTCGATATTTGTGTATCTTTTGCCAAATAACATAACAGGGGACTGGTTGCCAGGGGACTGTTTTTTTTATCAAATTGAGAAAAATAAAGCAAACTATTTCAATGCATTCAACTTTTCAAGTTCTCAATAAATGTTTACATTAATTAGAATTATATTAAGACTTATGGATCTAATTTTATAAATAAATTATAAATAAAAATAGTTGCCAGGGGACTGTTTTGAAGTGACCCAGACACAAATTTCCAGCACAAACGATGCATTGACACTAAATAAAATGGCGATAAAGCGCTAACAGCCCTATGGTTTTTAACTTAAGACTAGTTAAATCCTTATAAACCTTACAAAAGGTAAAATAACACGCTGGATTTTTTTTTTTTGGCTTTGAACTTCTGGCAAGGGACTGTTCTTAAAATGCCTGGGACAAACTTTGATTTAATAAATTTAATGAAACAAATTAATTTACGAAACTTTTTATTGAAGAAGATTGTTAGTTAACTAATTAAGTTTATAAGCATTATGGACCAAATTATATATTATGGACGAATAACTTAAAATTTAATCTTAAAGTTTTAATTTTGGGAATGGGACAGCCCAGGGGACTGTTATTTCAGTGGTTTACGAATTTATAGCAAAAAAATCAAAATATATTTTATTTTAGTTTTCAATGCTCCAAATAGAAATGTTTTTTTATTTTCGCAATAAATTTTTTTTAGTAACAAAATGACAATTTTTTTAATAAAAAAATGCCTGGGACAGCAAAAAACATCCTTACAGAGAATCACCCATATAATAATTGATAAAAATGAATAAGAATTGTGAATCTGTTCTTAATAAAATTGTTTAGAAATATTAAAATAATTTCTAACATTCACTTCTTACTATTTTTTATTGATTATTTTTTATAAAACCTATATACATTAAAATACTTATATTGTTTCAATTTGACTGTGTTTATAAAATTATACTTCTTATAATATAAGCCTCAACCGTTAGTACCAGCATTTTGTAATTGGTTGAATAATTTGTTCTTTGATAATAGTATGCAAAACATCACTACGCATGAAATAACTCGGAATAAGTAAATATTTATATATAATAATCTAGATATTGACAGAATATTCTCGAGGAATTTGTACTCGAAGGCATTGTGTTTCGGTATTCTATTATTTCTAGTAAGAATAATCAGCTTTGATCTTAACGACTTTTAATTATTGCGGTTCAGAAAATTATCCAAAGAATTTAATTAAAATTTTGCATTCTAGTATTTAAACAACGTTAAGGAGAACTTGATGAATACTAATAAGTTTTGTCACCACGAATACTTACTTTTTTTTTTTAGTAAAATTAATTAGCTTAAGTTTTAATAAGAGTAACTGCCACAAATAAATGGAAAAAATCAATAAAAAATTATAATATTAAAAATATTCAAATCCACCTTTTAGAAGTGCCACTACCCTGATAGCTGTACAAGTATTTCAATTAAATTGTAGTATAAAGTTGAAAGAGAATTTAACTACAAATTTGATTGTAAATACAAACTTGTGTAAAAAAAATTCTGATTCAAAATGAATTTAATTAAGATTGAAATTCATAATTTCACACAAATATGAATTAGATTTGAGATTAATCCAAATTTAAAATTGATTTGTGGATAGAAATTGGCATGCCTGTAAAACTTTCGATCCTGCTTCAGAATTTTAATAAAAACTTTAGAATATTTTATATATAAAATTTATCCTAAATATTCTTGATTTACTTACAATCCTTGGATATTAAATATTGTAGAATTTGGACTTAAACGTGGCACTCAATTTACTATATGAAGTTTGGGCTCAAGTCGCAAATCTCGCAAATGATCAACCTTGATGTATAGGTTAAGCTTTGTAATACAACAAATATACTATAGTTTGACGCACTATAGCGTATGAATATCTGAACAACACAGATGTACATTTAAGGAGGTCCTTTCGCCGCCAATGTAAAATAAAAACTATTAGATTATGAGTAAATTTAATTTTTTTCTAATAGTTAAGGTCCTTATTTATCTAATAGTGAGGTTTAAATTATACTTTACCGGACAAATTTTTGAAAAAATAAAATTTTTAAATGTTAGTATTTGTTCAGTCTTACGAGAAAGTCAGACGTTTGCAGTATTTCTCGAATTATACTATCAGTCATAGATTATCAAAATATTTGGCAACGTTGCGTAGCGCGCGAGCTTGAGACCATTCAATAAATTCAAACTAATTTATTTATTTACACTGACTGCAAAAACTTAAACGTAGTTAAGGTTATATTGTGCAAATGATAATGTAAACAACCGAAGTACAGCGTTGCCAATTCACGGACAGGTTACTAGCAGTTGATTTGAAAGAGTCAAATTAATTTTTGTATTTAACTATTTTTTTTTTTTTTTTTTTTCAAAGTTTCAACGATTAATGCCTCATATACTATTTATTATTTAATTTTAGGAATTTTTATGGGTTTTTTTATTTTAATTTATCGTATATTGACTACTACAATTGTTTTGACTCAACTGGAGCGAAAGGATTTCCTTAATTAACGGAGTTTTTCACTATTCAGGACGCAAATTTGAGCATCAAAAGTTTTTGACAACTATGAAAATGCATCACATTGCCAATGTATTCATTACGGAGTACAATAATTCGCAGGCATGCTCAAATTATGTAATGAAAGACAAATTGAATGAAATGAATTATAATCGATGCAGCCGTGAAGTTGAATGTGATAAAGAAGGTCGATATGGATTGTTTATGGACAGAGATGTAAATTCGTCTGAAAATATTTACTTAATTAGTATATCGTTGACGCCTAAGAAAAATAAGAGCAAAACGTCGAATCGAAACCACGGACAACAAAGATTGCAAGTAAACTAGTATAGGGAAACAATGAAGGGCAGGCAGCAGTAGGATAAAACCATCAGCTTCATCCTCCACCCATTATTTATAAAGTACACTACATTATAGTATTGATTCTAACAAAGGAATTCAATTTCATTAATCGGTTGCTATGCTTTCTAAAATAATTGGTAGTCGTCTTATAAAATTAACGACTACAATTGGTGAAGTTAGTTTTCTAGTGATGCTTGTTTCTTACAGGCAGCATTGACTTGTTGCTTATTGATTCTAATAGCTTCTCCTAAAATATTGCCCAAGAAAAATAAATATGAATAATTACCACAATAATTATACACTTCAGCTAGATACCGCGTTGAATAATATTTGTCGGTTAATAAATTTGAAACTTCATTGAAAAATTCTCCATTAAATTCTATTATTGCATTAGATTCTACTATTGTCAATTTAAACTTTTTGAATTTATACGCTTTATACACATATATGAAAAATAACATTTATTATCAAGTTAGCAATCTATAAAATGACAGTTAATTAAAATCTGTTCATTTGATGTTATTCTAATTGTTTATTGGCTAAAATCTAAATTATTTTAATTTTATCTAAATTCAAATTGTATTAAAATACAAAAATGATTTTCTAATTAAAACAATACTTATACTTTTCTTTACTTATTGAATGAAGATATGTGTATACTTTTTGTTTTAATTTAAAATCTTTTTTAAAATTTTTTTTTTGTTAAACTCCGTCAGTGTTGTAATAATGAATATAGATTATAAAATGAAATAATAATGCGACAACATAAACTAAAACGATTAAATATTAGAATTTCATTCTTTAATTAAAACTATATAATAAGTATAAGTTACTTAAAAAAATCTACTCAAGCGTTTTATTTTTTCACATCATTATATTATTATTATATTTAATATAATCCACAGTACAAAGGACAAAGAATATTATATTAATTAATATACGTATATCTGTACATTGAGCGCATCGAGCCCGAGTCGCACGAGTCTTCTTTTGAATTGTTATCAATAATCCATTCGTCGTACATATTTTTTAAAAGAACTATTTACATTCATGTCGTCAAAAGACAAAAATCCCTTTGAGTATAATGAAATTAAAAAATTGTATTTGACATGTATACATATGTATATATACATATATATTTATATATATATACACATACATATATAAATTAATAAGTGTATATGTACGTTTTTTTATTATTTGACAAGAATATCTTATAATTAATTGATAGTAAAATACACCAACTTGCAAATAAATATGAGCGTTAAATATTTATACGATTTAACGTCTATTTGAAATGATTAACAATATTATATCGTCGATAAACGGACTATCGAGGCTTTATATGCACTATTATATATTTATTTATTTATGTACAAAACGGACGATTCATAATAAAGAAGTAATACGAAAGATTGATAAAATAAAAAAAATATCATTTTTTTTTTTTTTTTTTTTTTATATATATGCCATTGTTTTATTTAGTTTGAATAGTAATTAATTAAAAACACGAGTTTCATGGCAATTCGCTTAATGCACGTCGCATATATTTATATATATATAAAATTATTCTGGGAATAACTATGTACTTATGGATCTAAAAAATTCAATATATATACAATTTTTCAACAATAAGGAATAATAATATGATGGGACATATTTTACGTGAATAAATGATTAATAATTATAAATGTAATTATATTTTTTTAAACGTAAACATTAGAAAATTGATTTATACAATAATGTTAATTAAATACAAGAAGATCAACGATTAGTTTTAAAAATTATTCATTCGTTTACACTTCTTTTATTTACGACAAATTTGTTTTCTTTTATATTACCATTTGGTTTATAAATATCAAAAAAAAAAAATCATTCAAGTAATAAAAAATAATAAATAAGATAATATCTATATGTACACATCTTTTATCATACATTATCATATATAATAAACAAAAAAAATGAAATAAAATGCAGTAAAGAAAAATTACTATAAACTCTAAAAAGCATAAATTATGTCTAGATTTTTTTTTTTAATTCTTTAGCACAAATTATTTCTATAGAATACTTATCTTAAATAAATTATTAATTATTAATTCAATACTAAGTATAACAAAAATAATAATAATGCTTAATTTAATAATTACACCCTTATATTAATTCATTATTATTATTATTTTTATTAATATTATTATTATTATTATTATTATTATTATTATTATTATCATTTTTATCATTACTATTTTTTTTTGCTTTTTTAATTATTTATGTATTATCGGTACGTAGTCAAGTTTATCGATCAATTAATAAATTTCAATTTATATAAAGGTAAACTTACATCACTTACGTTAAGTTTAACATTGATTGATATAAAAAAGAATTAAGATAGTAGAAGAAAGTTATTTTCATCATTCGTTTTCAGTTATTATGTTACACAATAGCAAATTGCCACGAATACTTCGCGTACCAACGTATATTCAAATTAAATAACAACAAATTATTTGAAAAAAATCAAATACAATAAAATTTTTAAAATGATGGGCAAAATATAATCTACATTAATCTGTTATCACCGAATTCACCGATTATTATTAATATTGTGTTTTTAAAATTCTTAATTTAGACGAAGCAAGTACAATTACTTATTTACGTACACATATACTCAACGTCACGATTTTTTATTAATTAATATTATTACTGTTAATATTTATTCAATAATCTACATGCGTATTAGCGAATCACTTTATATACAATTATAAATCTTTAGCATAGGCCAAGTTTTTTTCTTTTATTTTATTTCAATTAAGAATTACCTTAAAAAATTATACAAATAAAATTACCATATGCACAATATTCAATTATCTATAATGAGTTATTATATTTTTCGTATTTTTTTTTTTTTTTTTTTCTAATAATAATTTACGTGGATCTGAGATCGTAAAATATATATTTATATATAATTCTGTGTATTTGAAAAATAAAACGAAAAAAAAAATTGGCTTAATTTTAAATCGTTGGTATGCGCAGTGTTCGAACGTTTGTGTTATTAATTTAACAATTATCTAAACTACACAGATAAAACACCCAGTATTTAATTCACCATTAGATTTACAACACTGCCCTAGACACAGCCAATTACTAAGCCAAATATTTTTGGATTTTTCGTCATTAGTCAATACAATTACTCGTCATCTGGCTAACATTATTTGTTTCTTTGTCACTCTCTTTCACACATTTTCACTATCAATCTCTTAGTCTCTCCCCCGTCTGCAATTAACTGATAAAATTATCTTATTAATACTTAAAATCTAAAGTAAACTTGATTTCTATGTTAATTTTTTTTTTTTTTAATTATTTATTTTTCGACTTAATAATTATTCGTATATTTACAATAGTGTCCTTTGTGGGGAAACTCATAAATTAATCATTATTAATTATTATATAATTATGTTATCGAATGTAGCAAATAAGTTAATGTTATTTGATTTTTTAATTAAAAAGCACACTAATGTATAAAATGAATTCGGCGATTGAATTTTTCAATTTCATTTTTTTTTTTTTTTTCCGTTAACGTAATTATTTCAAAAAATTTAATATCTACAAATGCTGATACCGATTTCAAATTATCGGACTCTTTTATTATTTTAATTTATATTATTATTATTATTACTATTATTATTTTTTCATTATTATAAACTATAATTACATTACGTTGTTAATAAAAAAAGAAAAAGAATAATAATAAAATAAAATGATAAAAATAAACAGATAAATTTGTAAGAAAAGAAAAATCAAAGTATTTACTTTTGTACAGCATTGGCATATTAAAATTAGCCTTATTTTAGCATATGAGGATATTTTTTATATTATCGCTAATTTATATCTCAAATATTAAAATATGTAATGTTCTTTTCTTCTACTAATATTATTATTATAAAATTATAATATTTAATGATAATCTATAAACTTATAATATAATACGCAGATATATTAATAATAATTGATTGTATAATAAATTATTGTATATTATTTACAGAGTGGGATTTTTTTAGCTGTTACAAGTACGTTCTTTTTTTTTTATCAAGATCTTACTGAACTTATATATTATTTTATCTTTTTCAATCAAGACAAATCCGTCGTGATTACATTTTGATTAGTCTATACAAAGTGAGTTTGATGACAAAGAAATAAACATCATTTCTTTATGATCAACACAGCTCACTTATTATATTCCCTAGCAGCCATATGCTATGAACTTAATGTATTCGTTTTAATTTTTCTAGGAAATAGATTTTATTTTACTATTTCGTTCAATAGTTTAAAGAAATCACTGCATAAAAAATTATTTAAAAAAAGTTAAAACAATAATAAAGAATGCTATTTAATTTTATCTATATATATATATATATATATATATATATATATATATATATATCTTATATACTTTTCAAAATTGCATAAATAAATCAGTAGTACCTACAGCTCATACTATATCACTACTGATTAATTTTTAATTTTGTATTTAAATTTTACATTAATAACATTAGCATATACAGCAGCACATTTGTACGATTTTGTTCGATCCGTTTCACTGAGAATCGAAAAAAAATTTTTTGTTTTCTTAATTGTGTCTATAACATAAGAGACGTCATAGTAACAATGAAATTTTAAATAGCAATCGTTAGCTATTTTTTTATTTCATATTTATTAGAATTCCTGTCCTGTTGAGTTACATCAACAATCAATCAACGAGTTATTAAAAGAGTAGTTCTATCTCTTGAGTTAAAGATTTAATAGTCACCATATTTATAGTTTAAATTTGCACAATTAGAACCTTATCGAGATTGGCACGCGCGCGCAGCGTCTAATTCAAAATAAATATGAGTTATCGTCAGAATAATTAGACATTTTAATTCATTCAATTATAAAATATATAATTTAATTTGTGGTTAAACCCAAAATAATCTCATGCGCATGTCTTTATGATTGTTTAATCATACTATTACAACTATTTTCTATTATTATCATTATTTATTTTATGACTATCATATCTACTGCTGCCAATACTATTACTACCATTAATAATATTACTTAGTAATAATAATAATAATAATAATAATAATAATAATAATAATAATAACATTAATAAAAATAATTATTTTAATAATAATAAGTAATAGATAGTTTACAAATCTACAGTCGGGAGAAAGACCGCAGGACATAAAAAACGAAATTGCATTAGAGTAGCAATAGCGGATTAAATTTCACAGTGGTCATCTCCTTAAAACATTTGTCACAAAACACGGAATTTACCAGCGTTATATTGACATTTTGTTCGTCGATAATCACTATTTATAACTGGTTTTATAGATAATAGTCACTACAATCCTTCGACAAACTTGGAAAGTTGATCTTGCGGCGTCATTGGTGTTACTTCACCAGTTTCAGCTCCACCTGCGTGTAACATCATTTCACTGGGTCCTCCTAATTCATGGGCTGGGGAATGTGTCGGCGTACCGTGAGGTGGATGATGAAGTGGTGAAGGTACAGGACCCGCTCTAGGAGAAGGTACCGGTTGATTACGAGGCGAAGGCACAGGCCTCGGCGATGGATTTGGTTGAGGCGAACGAATTGGTGGTGGCGATCTTACAGACTGCATTAGTTGCTGCTGCACCGAAATTCCCGGTGGTCCCATAACACCTTGTGATCCAGTAACAGGCGACGGAGTCGGCTTAAGACCAGGTTGTCCGTAAGCTTGTTCATTAAAACCACCATAACCCAAATGTGGCCTCATTGGCCTTTGTTGCCCATAAGGCGGTGCTGGTGGTTGGGTAAACGGTTGCTGAGGCTGCTGTTGCTGTTGTTGTTGCTGTTGTTGTACCGTATGTCTTTGCATCGTTAAAACTTGTTGTTTATGCCATTGCGGATATTGAACACCAGGCACTTGACCCGATTGCTGCTGCTGCTGCTGCTGCTGCTGTTGTTGTTGTTGTTGTTGTTGTTGTTGTTGTTGTTGTTGTTGTTGCTGTTGTTGATTTATTAGCGCATGAAGTTGCATTCGATTTGGTTGCTGTTGCTGCGGTTGCTGCTGCTGAGTATGCTGAGGCTGAAGTTGATGCTGCTGTTGTTGCGGTAACATATGTGACAAGCTAGATTGTTGCTGTTGTTGTTGCTGTTGTTGTTGCTGCTGTTGTTGTTGTTGGTGTTGTTGCTGCGGCTGTTGCTGTTGTTGAGGTTGCCCCGGACCCATTGATCCAACAACTCCACCATGCTGACCAGTCTGAGCTTGTCGTTGTTTTATAAATGCTGCCATTAAAGGTGGATTACTCTTAAGTATATGTAGTATCTGGTTTTGTTGATCTGGAGTACTAGGACTTCGTAGCGTTTGCATAAGCTGTTGTAGGGCTTGTCTTTGCATCGGTGGCCCACTGCCTTGACCTTGAGGACCTACTTGACCAACGGGTCCACCAACAACGTTAGCTTGTCGTGGCATTTGACCGGCTATGTTCATTGCTGATTGCCCTTGATGCTGTTGCGGTTGCATTATTTGCTGTGGAGCTTGTGGACGGAGACCTGGATTTTGTTGCATTACAGCATTAGGTTGATACCTCGGTGTTGTCCACTGATCCATGGAAATTAGATGAGTACCACCGGGATTTGTCATTTGTACTGGCATTTGCCTTTGCATTTGTGGCGGTGGCATCACACCACCACCTTGGTTACCAACATTTACACCAACAACAGGCGCTACTTTACCATAGTTACCATGTGGAGTTTGCTGTCTTGCGGCTTCTTCTTGTACTTGTTTAACCACTTGAAGAACATGAGCTGGTGGTGTATGTGCACTTGGTTTATGACCAATACCTGGCTGATGAGGTGAAGGTAAATTCGTCGGACTGGCTCCGGGCTTCATCGCGACACCAGCAGCCATTACAGCATTTGACGTTGGCTGACCACTTTGCATACCACTAACAGGGGCTGTCGGTCTTGTGTTCATCACAGCCATACGTCTTCTTAATAACTGTGCCTGTTGTAATCTCTGCTGTAATTGTTGCTGTTTTAATTTGTGCTTGATATTTGAACAAAATGGTACAAGACATTTTGTTTCTTGGCAATGTTTCGCATGGTAGCAGCATAATGCAATGAGTTGTTTACAAATTGGACAGCCACCGTTTGTTTTCCGTTTACAAACTTTGGTATGTGTAACAACTCTCTTCATCTTTTGACAGCTAGGTAGTCGACAATTAGCGTCTCGACATTGACACGCGTGAACCAACGATTGTATACATCTTTGGATAGATAATTTTCTTGCTTCTTGGGGATTCGCTTGTTTAGCATCTGCAGGTGATGAACCATCATCCAAGTCTAAACCAAGTTTCTCCATGAGATGAGGATGATCATCTTTTTCTTTACAACTTATACAAAGATCAAAGTCCTGAAAAATAATAATTCATTTATTAGAAATTATTTCATTTGGATTGAGTCAAATTTTTATGAAACAATTTGAAAAAATAATTTATCTTTTAAAAGTATTTAAAAATTCAATTAAATTCTTTCCCGGTTAAGATAACTACAAAGATGATTTTATTGTCATCAATTCAACTGTATCAAAATTTTTTTTTTTTTTTTTTTTTTTTTTTTTTTACGCATATGCATAGAAAATATAAATTTTTGGTTTTTATACTTACATCACAAACTGTACAGTGATATCTTGTTTCAACATGACTCTTGCAGTTGTTACATGTGTATACAAATTTGTCTTGACCTTGATTATGTAATTCATACAACATTGACATTGAACTAAACTTAGCTCGTCTAAGAGATGAGAATTCATAATGCTTTTCTCTCGCCATCGTAAGGAATGCATCTCGTCCGTCCATAAGATCACAATTAATAACAGGATCAGGATCTTGAATTGATGCTAAACTAGCTGCACTTTGAGCACTATGTAATCTAATTACAAAGAATACTTCTTTGTGTTTTTCCATAGTAGCAAAAATTTTTGCAGAAAGATCATTGCCTGTTTGTGGCGTATTTGATTTTTTGCTATTTTTACGCTGATTAGCTTTAGATTTATTAGACTTTTTCGCTTTTTTCTGGCCCTTCTTTTTGCCATCTGGACCCGTCTCAGAGTCATCAGTTAATGAGAATATCTTTGGAGAAAAAAAAAAAAAACAATTAAAACTAACATCTAAAAAATGTTTCAATACCTAATAATTAAGAACAATTTGTTAATTTTAATTATACTTACAGCATTTGCGGCGGCAGCTGCTGCTTCAGCGGCTTCTGCTTGTTTTCTTTTTTCTTCTTCCTCCTGGTCGAGCTCTTTTATGCTTTCTTCCAGAACGTTTGGCCAGAAATCACCTTCGAAGTAAGGCAGATCAGCAGCAGAAGATAATTTATCCTCCATCGCTTGTTTAAGAATATCCTAACAGAAAAAGAAACAATTAAATTTCATTAATATATTTTGTGAAAAGTTGATACCAAAATAAGATTTTTAATTTCAAGAAAATGTATCCTGACAATCCTATGCTCATAATTCATTAAAAAAAATAAGAACATTATTAGCTTATGTCTGAAATTAATTTAAGTCTCGTTTGACAGCCATTTATGTAAAGTTCACAAATAGTTAACACAGAGACTAAAATATGAAATGACAAAATAATAATTATATATAATCTTACCTTATAATCAAGTACTATTCTTTCAACCATTCCTTTATCGAGCATTTTCTTATACCATTCTTGTAATCTCTTAGGTTTTGGAATTTTTTGTTCTGTAGGATGGCAGTGGAAAATATAATCATCTCCTTCAGATGGTGGACAAGCCCAAATATGAGCCATTGTATAACTGAATTAGGGATACGAAAATTTTATTATTAGATTAATTATGTAATTAAAAATTAATAGGGTGTGATTCATGATAAACTCGAATTGTTGTACAAGTTGAAAAATAATGATTTATAACTTACCCCAGTTGCTTAGCATAATCCAAATATCCAAGAAGAATTTCATGATAAACAGCAGTCCTAAATTGTTTAGGTCGGAAGAAATGTACAGAGTCCAAATAAGCGATATACACTCGCCTAGTATTGGGTGGCGTGCATTCACTTCCGTATTCTTGAACATGCATACCGAAGAAACAAACATCCGTGCCGTCAACTTCTTCGAATGCAAATAGTGCTTTTGCACGGTAAGGAAATTCACCAGGCATATCACCATTTTCAACAAATCTACTTCTCATACCAGGTTTAACTTCAACAACTTTATCACTTGATGCAACAACACGAATTGCAACTTCACCCGCGCCAGCCTCTTTTTTCTTCAAGAAATTATTAACTCTTGTTTCTATATAAGTTCCTAACTTTGTAACTGGCAATCTTTTAGCATTAAATTTATTCTCTTTTCGTTTTTGTCCCTTCTTTTTGAGACAATTATCACAGCTAAATCTAAATAACAAAAACAAATTTTGTAATTAGCTCAAATTTAAAATAAAACTTGAATTTCTCAATTATAAACGATAAAAAAAAAAAAAAACAGGTAAACTTACCCTAATGGCCAAATCGATTCCATATGAAGAACACAAATTTGGTGAACTTTCCTACCACAATCATTACAGATGACGAAAGGTTCTAATTCCAAATGATCATTTTTCATCTCTTGAAATTGTTCCTTTTTTATTGCCCTATTATTAAATAATAAATTTTAATTGTAAGTAAATTTAATAAATAATAATGTATATAAGTAACAAATAAATACTTACGTTTGTGGTTGCGTCGGATCATCACCCAACGTCACAGTGTCACCGGGAATGTCATTGAAACACTTTTGACAAAACGTGTATCTGTTGGAAACAAGACCATAAGCCTTTAGACTATAATTCCAATATTTAATGGTTTAATCAGTTAATTTTGTAACATCCAGTTCATCATGGTGATGTTATTTAATAAAGTCCAGTTGATGATTGTCCATAATGTAAATGAATTATAAAATTCAATTATATATAATATTGGTTTTATAGTTGTCCAGTATAATTTTATAATTGCCAATATGATTATTTATCCCAATTTCCACATATCATTATTTTTTCGACATATAATGAATATTAATTTATGTCCAAGGCAAAATTGGGAATAAATAAAAGAACACACCACAAAATTTTAAGGGCCAAGCAACAGACGAGGATGTGTGTATGAGTGAGTGTGCAGGCACGTCCATGGTAGTAGAGTGAAGGTAACATATAAAGAGAATAGTGCATATGTTAGAAGTGATTTTAATGAGCAAGCTTTTATGATTGCTTTTAAATTAATATTAATAAAATAACTAAAATATCAGATTAATAAAGACAAAAAATTTGTTGGTCAGGGGACTGGTTTACTACAGTACTATTTAACTGTTATAAACTAATTATCCTGCCGTTTTTATGTAGCGCATTTGGTGGTAGACAATTTAATACAAATTTAAAATTGTCAAATAAATCAAGTGCGCTAATTTATTTTTTTAGAGAAATAATTTTTAGCAATGCTTTTATCTAAAGATAGATACCGATAATATGATCGTGAGCTTTCGAAAAAATTTTGGAGCGACAGTGGGATTCGAACCCAAGTCTTGTCGATACTCAACTTCGAAAATTTCAACGTTAGTCACGTGGCTACGAGACCCGATTTTACAAATGATAAATATTTAAATGATCAACCAAATTATAGTGTTAAATGGTAGCATGAAGAATTAATAGAAAAAAGCATAAATAATATTAAAATTAATAACGGGTAAAACAAAAAAAATAAGCATAAACATAAAAACATAATATATAATTAAAAATAAATTTTCTAGTACTGACCTATTTTTGTAGGAATAATATTTTGCATCTCTTGGTATTGTACAAAGCTGCTTGCCATAACAACACAACACCTGAGGATTAAAGGTATATTTCCTGCCGCAACAATAGCCCAATGCTTGCATTACTGGGTCAATTTCTTGTTCAAACACTTCCGATAACTATGAAGTAAGCAAAAAAAAATTTAATTAACTATTTAATATAAAAAATTCATCACAATTTATAATGTAATTAATGAGATAATTAATTATACCTTTGTACAGTATCTGTAGACTCGTGATGTTTTACGATTATAAAGCCATGCATTATCAAACATCATCCAAACATCATCGACATACTCCCAAGGATCGCTGTACTGACCGGTGTCAAGCTTCCTTTTAATAGTAGAGAGATCCATTGGGTGCTTGACAATGTCAAAGTAATCTGGAATTCCCAGTGCTGGTGGATCAACTGGTTGTCTGAAAGGCAATGATTCGGGATCTTGACGATATAGTTTTTCCAAAGTTGGCATCAACGCCTGTCTTAATTCATCTGGCTTGAAAAGACAAAGGCGTTTTTTGCTATCTGAGGTTCCACTAGATTGAATAGGTTCAGGCATCATGGGTTTTATGTCAGACGTAGAACCATCATGACTGGACATCGGTGTAACTGGTTCCTCTTTGATATGAGGCTCTTCTTTGATAGTGCCATCTCCCGACGACTCTTCCATAGGTTCTTGTTTTATTTCTGTTTTGATAACAACATCATTATTAATATTCTTACCACCATCCATTCTGTGATTTTCTGAACAGTCTTCTTGTTTGATCTCCATTTTAATATTTTCTTCTTTAATAGAGTCCAACTTTCCTTTATTATTATTCGTAGGTGGACTGGGTGAGTTGTCACGATCGAGAGCAGCTGTGATAGCAGCCATTTGCGAAGACATTGAAGAACTTCTGGGTGCATTTAACGCTGCTCTTTCTTGTGAGGTCATACCTTTGCCAAGACTAGCAAGACCGGCAGGTGATGGTGTCGTACTTGGATGAGGAGGTGTTTGATTTGATATCATCTGATTTGGTGTCATTAAAGAAGGAACAAGTGGTGTCGAAGGCGTTGAAGCGACCGATTGTGGACCGTTTGTCGTAGGCGCTGGTCCAGGACTAGGTCCACTTGATGATGAAGGCGCTATCGTTTGAGGTGTATTTACAGAGATTCCATTATCAACTGGTGTTGTAGCAGACAATGGTCGAGTATTTGTGAACTGCTGTTGATTGCTTTGCTGCTGTATAGTACTAAATGGTGATGGAGCTTGAGGAATGCTCGCAACATTGACATTCGGTATAGGGGTGCCGACTTGTTGTTGCTGTTGTTGTTGAACTTGCTGTACTTGTTGCTGTTGTTGAACTTGTTGTTGCTGTTGTTGTGCTTGTTGCTGTTGTTGGACTTGTTGTTGTTGTTGTTGTTGTTGTTGAGCAGCTTGTTGTTGTTGTTGCTGCTGCTGTTGTTGTTGAGCTTGTTGTTGCTGCTGCTGTTGTTGCTGTTGCTGCTGTTGTTGTTGTTGCTGCTGCTGTAATTGCTGCTGCTGAACTTGTTGCTGTTGTTGTTGTTGTTGTTGTTGTTGTACAGCTTGAGCTTGCAACCTCGCTTTCATCAGCTCTGGATATTGAACAGGAGACGTGTTCGGTAAGACCGCTGTACCATTAGATGTCGGGAACTGACTAGTTGTCGCTGACGTCGATGATGTCGTTAAGTTTGCCTGCGGCATTTGTTGTGCAAAAGGAATGAGAGGATTTGATACCATAGGTGCATTTGATGCGACTTGACCGTTTGGACTAGGTCCAGAAGGACCTACTAGCATATTGGACTGCTGTTGCTGAACTTGTTGCTGTAATTGTTGTTGAACCTGTTGTGTAACTTGCTGCTGCTGCTGCTGTTGTTGTTGTTGTGATTGCTGTGATTGTTGTGATTGTTGTGATTGCTGTTGAGTAAAAGGCATACGATTGTGTTGCATTGCAATCCCTTGAATATTGCGTAATTGATCAATTCCGGGTGAAAGACTTCTTAACGTAGGTGGAGCTGCCCTTTGAGGTACAGCAGCTGGAACACCTGGTGGGGGAGCAATAGCTCGTAATCCAGGAGCAGCAGCAACCTGTGCTTGAGGCTGTTGTTGTTGCTGAGCTAATTGCATTTCTTTACGCTTTTGACGTTTTTCTTCTAGCTCTTTTTGAATTTTATAAATTTTTTCCGCCAATAAATGATAATACTCGGATCGTGAATTAGCCATTTCATACATATCACCTTCAACTTTTCTCGCATACGCCACTAAATTATGTAATCTTTTATCGAACATTGCTTGTGGATCTGGAGCTGGAAATATTGCTTGAACTAATTTATGAACAAGATGATTTCTGAGATCTGGCGTTACTGATTGATGCCATTCTTTTGTTCCTTGTACTGGAGTAGCTGTTACTTGACCCGGCTGAAGACCACCAGGTAATTGTAAATTTGTCAATCTATTTTCATTTGATAAATTAGGCTGACCTGAATCATTAAGACCAAATAGTGTATGCATATTAACAGCTTGCTGCTGTTGTTGAAGATTGGTAGTCGCCGCTACTGCCACGGCAGACGTTGGACCCGTCGTTGAAGCTGATTGGTTAGTACTTACGGCTACAGTCGTTGGATCGGAACTTAATGGAAGAGATACATTTGGTGCGACGGATTGCACTTGATTAACTACCGATTGACCTGGACTTTGCTGAGCTTGAGGTTGTGCAAGTCTTATTCCTGCAGCTATCGAACCAGGAGGACCAGGCATACCCGGGCCAGGCATTCTCACACCACGACCTACTGCCTGATTAGATAAAATACCAGGTGCCGTCTTTTGACACTGTATCATACCCACAGTTTCAAAAGGTTTTCTTATGTCGGGATTTGGATTTGGTTGGCTATTTGGCTGGTTTGTTACCACAGCTGGAAGAGATTTTTTTAAAGGTTATTTTCAAGTATAATTGAAACAATAAGTGGAAACAAAAAAAAAAATAATTATTGTTATTATTAAAAAAAATACAAACCAGCACGAGAATTAGCAGTCTTGTTTTTGTCCGCTTGTTTGAGTGGTAAGCAAACAGGACAATCGCTCTTTTGACACTGCTTCCAATGAGTGATGATCTGTCTGGATGAACTGCAATGTGGTATTGTACACTCTTTGCCCTCTTCGCAGGTCGTCATATGAGTCAGAACATTCTTCATAGTTTTGCAGTGGGGCAGCGAACATTTCCACGCTTCACCGTTGGCCTGGCGTTCTCGTATCTGGCATTTGTGGGCGTGGAGCAGGAGGACGAGCTGCTGCTGGATTAGTTTACGGTGCTCTGGATCATGAGTAGAAGATGTAGAACCTGGTTATTATGCACCGAGGATCATTTAACATACAATAAATCGTCTTATAAAAAGAACGATTTTTTGATTACTACAACTAAAACATACCGGATTGCGTACTTCCACCAGCGACTGGTCCCTGTGTTGCTTGTTGAGGATCCGGTTGACCACCCGTTGGCGCACCGGACTGTGGTTGAGCAGGACTTGGGGTGGGCTGTTGACTTTGCTGGACCATCCCTTCTTGACCGCTTATGACATTTCCAACACCGATTGGCCCACTTGGACCACCAGGACCGCCAAATCGTCCGACAGACATGGCTCCCATGTTAGACCCGACTCCTCCTCTTTGCAGGGGGGCAACTACGCAGACAGGATTGACAGCTCGTACATTTAATCTAGTACCTGGACCGCTTCCAGGGGTACCTATCTCACAAGTATATATCAAATCCGCATACCATATCGTTTATTCTAACCATTTTTTCCCTAGCTAAAAAAAAATATTAAAATTTTGCTTACCATATCCGTATGGGCTTGAAACACCCATTTGACCCATATTTTGAATATTTTGCATGTTAGGTGGTGCTTGCATCCTCGATCCACCTTGCCCAGGACCTACAATACCTCCCTGATGGACTTGATGATGAGGACTTTGACCCCGAGCTTGATTTACCATGTGAGTTTGCTGTTGCTGCTGCTGTTGCTGTTGTTGTTGAGCTTGCTGCTGTTGTTGGACTTGTTGCTGTTGCTGAACTTGCTGTTGCTGTTGTGCTTGTTGTTGCTGTTGTTGCATAACTACTCGATTCATTAATCCTTGACCTGGACCATTTTGCATTTGAGTAACACCATGAGGACCCTGTGGATGATGAACTCCTTGTGAATTTGGACCCATCATTGTCACCTAATTAATCAGAAAATCAAGTATTTCAGTGATATAAAAATTCATATTGACATTAGCATATGGCTGATTCTCTGTAAAGACGTCTTAAATCTGTACAAAATTGTCCGACCAAATTATTTTTAATTTTATGAGAAAAAAAATTAACAAGGGCTACAAAACTATCAGTTTAATGATAATAAATAAACAGCCAAATTAATTTTTGTTTTTTCTATTTTTTTTGTCTTTTGCCATATAACATGACAGGGGACTGTTTTGTGTTTATCAAATTGAGAAAAATTAAGCAAACTATTTCAATGCATTCAAATTTTCAAGTTCTCAATGAATGTTTACATTAATTAGAATAATATTAAGACTTATGGATCCAATTTTATGAATAAATTATAAATAAAAATAGTTGCCAGGGGACTGAGTTTTGAAGTGGCCCAGACACATATTTCCAGCACAAACAGTGCATTGACACTAAATAAAATGGCGATAAAGCGCTAACAGCCCTATGGTTATTAACTCAAAACTAGTTAGATCCTTATAAACCTTACAAAAGGTAAAATAACACGCTGGATTTTTTTTTTGGCTTTGAACTTCTGGCAGGGGACTGTTCTTAAAATGCCTGGGACAAACTTCGGTTTAATGAATTTAATGAAACAAATTAATTTTCGGTACTTTTTATTGAAGAAGATTGTTAGTTAACTAATTAAGTTTATAAACATTATGGACTAAATTATATATTATGGACGAATAACTTAAAATTTAATCTTAAAGTTTTAATTTTGGGACTGGAACAGCCCAGGGGACTGTTATTTCGATGGTTTACGAATTTATAGCAAAAAAATCAAAATATATTTCATTTTAGTTTTCAATGCTCCAAATAGAAATGTTTATTTACTTTCGTAATAAATTTTTTTAATAACAAAATAACAATTTTTCTAATAAAAAAATACCTGGGACAGCAAAAAACATCCTTACAGAGAATCACCGACATAATAATTTATAAAAATGAATAAATAAAACGTACCGTGTTTAATGGTTGTTTGTTTAAGCTGTTAGCAACAATCAAACCACCACCAGCCATTCCTCCTAAATTATTATTCCCCGTGGCGCTACTAGTCATGACTAAACTAGCGTTCATACCACCAGGCATTGACATAGCTGGATTACTACCAGCCATACTCATTGACGGCTGAAGACCACCCATAGAATTCACTATGGACATCTGATTGTTGGCTAACGAGCTTGCTATACTACTTGGCAAATTTCCCAAGCTCACTACCATTTGTTGATCTACAACCCCTTTAGATACCGAAACATTCGGTGGTGACTGCATGTTTGGACTTTTACTGCTCATCGTTCCAGCAGCCATAACCAATGAATTCGGTACGAGACTTTGCTTATTCTGTTATAAAAAACATTTTATTTATAGAATTAATATTTTTATCTTAAGAACAACGTATTATTACTTGACATTTTCAAAACTTACCTGCTGTTGAATTAAATGATGAGATAGCTGCTGCTGTTGCTGTTGCTGTTGTTGTTGTTGCTGCTGCTGCTGTTGCTGCTGCTGTTGTTGCTGTTGCTGTTGTTGTTGCTGTACATGTTGTCGCAATTCCGAATCAAGCACACCATTTTGTTGTCCTGGTCCAGGGCCTGTTGCCGGTGGTTTTTCAGCTGCTGAGCTCCAAGATCCCGATGAAAGTAAATCGTCAGGAAGATCATTTTCGAGGTCATACATATCATTGTTTGTTATGAAATCTGAAGAATCATAAAATAATTAGAAAATCACATAGTATTTTATTATTACTTGTCTTAATATTATTTTATTTTTACTTCTTAGAATTATTCATTTCTAAAAGTTATAATCAAGTCATTGAAGTTATTGAATTTATAATTTTAACTTTGAGTATATTCATAAAAAAAAAAATATTTAAAATAAAACTCTAAAACTCTAAAAAATTTACAAATTTAACAAACAAAATTTATTTATTTGATTGTCATACAATATGCTATTTATTTAGAATATTGTAAGTAAAATTAATGATGTGCCATGAGGTACCAAGGTTATGTTAGTAATTTAATGAAAAAAAATTAGTACCGTCACCATAGATTTTGATCCAAAGCTTCAATACGCTGTTATATTATTTTTAAATAAAAAAATAAAAAAAAATTTAACCGGGAATTTAATGAACAAAAAAAAATATGCAAACAAATGTTATAAATGAAATATATAACTAGCATAACACAAGGGGCACTCGAACCCAAAATTATTTTTTGGCAAATCTAAAACTAAAAAAAATAATTAATTGTAAATTATTATTATTATTAATATTATCATCATCATTTAATAATCACGATTGTGATAGGGGGTGAATAAAATAAAAAAGCATAAGATAAATAATAATTTACAGTAACAAAGTATGTCTACGTTATAATTAATAATAATAATAATAATAATAATAATAATAAATTTTTGAAATAATAACAATAATAATGACAATAAATAAGTAATATGGATAAATAAATATGTAAAAATAAATTAAGACATGAGACATACACCGCACGAGCAAAACTTAAGGGAGCTACAGCAGATAAAATAATTAGTTTTATATAGTAAACTCGTGCTCAACTATTAAAAAGCAGCAAAGCTACGATATACAAACTATATAAAGAACCATGCTTAGAGATTTAACAGTAATTTTTTTCTGTTTATGTATATCAATAATAAATCTAAACCGAGCATAAACTAATAATTTATAATTTAAAATAATTTTCAAGTTAATAATTTGAATATTAAAAAAAAGTAAAACTTATAAAAAGTTATTTTATTTTTTTAGTATATTTCATAGGGATACTGTAATTTAAAAAATTATATATTTATTAATGAAATAATTATATTTTTTATTAAACAATATTTGACCTCGTTGATTCGCTGAAATAATTTGATGTTAATATTTTCCGTTCCTATCAAAACAACCTGCTTAACCCCATGAATAAAAAATGAAATTCTAAATTAGTATAATGACAAATAATTATTTACAATCGATGTACTGCATCGATCGTGGTACCTAAAAAAAACCATTAAAACAATTGTGGATAAAAAATTCGAAGCTCTGTGAATGTTTGCCGCATGTCTCTTAATTTTATTCTCATTTTAAATTTTATTGTTGGATTATCCAGCATGAGAAGTGTATGATTACGATGATAAAATAATTTTACTTTTTTTTTTTTTATATTTCTTCTCTCCCGTTGGAGTTATTAACATTATCATCATATTTATTATTATTGTTATTATTATTGTTGCTATAAATTATTTATTTGCGGCAATGAAATTTAGAATGAACAATGGTTACGGTGATATAATGGGAGGACAAATGAATGATTTGCTTTTTCACTGATAACGCTTGAATTGTCACACGTTTTTTTTTATTTTTGTTTTTTGTTTTTGTTAATATTTACTTCTCCTCTGGGTGGTATTGTTGTTCCAATGTTGCTGCATCTGATGCTGTTGCAGATGTAGTTGTTGCGGCGGACCCTGCATTTGTTGTAAGTTACCACTGCCACTTCCCCCGTAGTTTGAATAAGCATGAGGCATCATTAGAGACGCCATACTCACTACATGTATCAGTTTATGATTTTTAAATAAAAATTTGATTTTTCCAATTTTTTAAAATTAAATTAAATATTTTTACTCTTAATTAATTTCTTTCAACTTATTGTTTTATTTTTTTTTTTTATTTACTCCAAATTTTAATTAAAAGAAAACTTTAGGTAAAGATTTTGTTCACAATAGTAGTCATTACTTTCTTGAATAAAATTAGTAATTTTTTTATTAATAATTCACTCTAAATTGATAATTAAGTATTGATTGATAAAAAAAAAAATTACTAGAGGCTTAAATTAATTTATGTTTTTACAACTACTCAAGATACTAATTGAAATAATAAGTTTTTATCGGTTAATAAGATTAAAATAGCGCTGGAATGAATAAATTGTTCCAAAAGAAATAATAGTTAGTGCATGGCTCATGCAATAAAAAATTTTTTTTAAACCGGAATATTGTCAAAATGCTTTTATAGCACATCCAGCATGCGCTACAGATTTTTAATTTATTAAAATCAGAGATAAATAGAATTATAAAAAATAAACAAATTTTAGAGAATATGCCAATAAATTTTTTTTTATTTTTTTAACAATAACAAAAAATGTAGACGTTAAATTAAAGATTAACAATGTATAAACAATGATTTTAAAAAACTTATCTAAAAAACATGTACTAAGCATTTAATTTTTGACATTTCAGTTAAAATGACAGTCTGAATAAAATAAATTGGCATTTATCATGTACTTGTTTTTATAGATTTATAAAATTCTAAATCATTACTCAATGAATAAAAACAGTAAAAAAAATACTACAAATGTTAATTAGCAATAATATTAAATTTCACTAACAAAGCTTTTAAAAAAAAAATTAATTACTTAGCTCCAAATCTAACATCAGAATAAAAATTAATAAAAACAATTAAAATAATATTTTATTATAAAATGTAATTTTTTATATAATTGATTTTAATAAAATATAAAACCATGACTTATAATAATTATAATTTACATGATAATTTAAAAAAAGTTTCAAAAATTTTAGGAGAAACAATAAAAAAAAAAAGACACAAATGATATCCGATAGAAGTGTAACAGGTTGGAGATAACTCTTATTGTAGTTGAATCGCAAAGAGACATAAACGATATCCAGGTATTTTTATCCATCCTTTAGGTTGTCCCGCGTCAACGTTAATATTTTTTTGACAATAACAGTTTATTTAAAAAAAAATCGGAATAAAAAGGATTGAAAGTAATTTACTTTATCCTAGTAATTTCAAAATAAGGTATATTAAAACTGAGTAAAAAAAAAAAAAAAAAAAAAAGTTTGCTCACCAGAAGAATCAGAGGGACCTTGAAAAGCATCTCCAAGCTTTGGCCGCTTGGTCGGCGGTCCATCCACTAAGTGGTCGGCCATTTCCTCAGAAGAAATATAATCTCCAATATAATCAGACTAATTAAATAGACTTAATGTCACGGTAGCAGATCACTGCGGTCCTCAAAACACCAAGTAAATGGTGGTGATGTTGATGACGGCAATGACGACGACGACAAGCTCCAAAAAGCTAAACTGGACTCCACGACGCGATAGCGGTGGCGGCTAGACTTGGAGCCGCCGTAAAGGTAATGAATAAATCGGAGATTCAGATGATAAATAATTTAGCGACGACGACGACGTTAGTTCGGCGTAGTCGGGTACGCGGTGGCAGGTCTTTTTCACCGCATAACAAACATATTTAAATTCACTAAAATAACAATTGTAACAATAAGCGCGGCGCGCAAAGCGTCCTTGTACATGATTTACTGCAACATCAGCCATCGGGCATCCTCAGAGAGTTTTTAAAAAAAATTTCGGAGGGCCCGCGACTCCGAGGAAAACTCGGCGGGCCACACTCCACGACAACCGTGACTGTTGATTTCAGCTGCAATAGCAGCAATCTTTTTTACACTATATAACTAAATCACCAGCTGATATATATATGTATGTATATATATCTATCTGTATGTGTATGTATGTAAGTATATATATATATATATATATATGTATGTATATATATATATATATATGAATAAATATAAATTTACATATATATATATTGAAGTATATGTACTGTGTATATGAGTATATATGTATACACTAAGAGTAGATCAAGATGAGGACAGCGATGGTGATGGTGATGTCGACGGGTACGACGATGACGACGACGACGTTTCACCCAGACGCTTGCACTCGTAAAATAACCACTGGATCAGTTGTTTATTGAAAACACAGTCAGTCAACTCGGACGCCTTGACTTGAGGTACCTTTATGTTAATGAAATAAAATGCACTTGTTATTAATAATAATAGTAGTAATAATGATAATAAAAAAAGCACGAGTCAAATTTGTAGTGACACCAAGACACCACGCACACCAATCATCCTGTGTCACACTGGCTGGGTGCACGCCGCTAACAGCTAGCAGCGACGATAACGCACTCAAGGGCCGCTGGCACCATCTTAACTATCTCCACCTCCGGAGGCTCTTCCATGTACCGTGTACCTCTCTCTCTTGCTAACTTAATGGGCGCGCGAAATTGACGCAAACGAGATGAGTCTTGTATATTTAACTCACACGTTTTATTATCAAACAATACGATACTTGGTAATTGCAATCACTTTACAGCATCGTCTCATTGAGACAGCCAGTACACTAATTTTCACGAAATAAGATACGCCGATGGGATTATAGACCGTGCGAGTCGATCGGCTAACGTAAAATGGCGGCGGCTGTTGACGACAAGTTTTTCTACGCTTGTCAGAAAATGCCCGACTACTCTCTGTTCGGTAGAGGTCGCCTCAGCTAAACAATCTCATTGGCGAGACTCACCACGTGACTTTATTAATCATTCTTATTGGCTTCTACCACCCGAGGCCATCATCGCGACGACTGCACTCACTCTTCCGTTCATTTAGAACTAGCTTATCCTTCCCGTCTAGTATTCTTAAGTCCATTCAAATAGTAAGTCCTACTTCAAACTCCAAAACATTACAAACTAATGTTTACATTTTTCACTTTTTTTTTTTTTGAACAATTACTGTCAGTCAACAAGTGTTTTCAATTGTTTAATTCATTTGATTATTTTAATAAAATTAACAATTATTGTTGTTTCAAATAATAAAACTGACAAATACTTTAATTTTTATTTAATAATAATTAAATCAGCAGTCATTTGATCATGAAAACAAAGTTAGCTGACATCTAAAAATTTTTGGAATTTTTTTATTAAAAAAATTATTAGGTAGAAAAAAAATTTTTTTTTAAATTTTATTTGTAAAAAATTTGAAAAAATGTAAGTGCAATTTAAAAAAAATTTTTTTTAGTTCTAATTTAATAAATTAAGCAAAATCAAAAATGTCAGCTAACTTTATTATTATCATTTGATCATTATTTAGTTTCTTTTAACAAATAATTTTGTTTTAAATTAATTTTGAAAAAAATTTGCATCTGTTTTTTTTTTTTAATTTTTACATGTGAATTTTTTTTTTAATATTTTTCAATTAATTTATTTGTTAAAAAAAGTCATAAAATGACAGCTGTTTATTTACTTTATTATATTTAAAAAAATTTATTAATACTAATAATAATGTTAAAAAATTTTATTTTTTATTTAAATGTTTTACAGTAAATTATTTATATTTTTATAAATAAAAAAAAAAATTATTAAGTAATTTATTAATACAGATTAAAAAATTACATGCTCCAAAATAATCTAGTATTTGAAAAATAAAACTTTGAATTAAAAAAATTATAAATTATTTTTGTATGTTTACATAAAATAAAATTAAAATTCATTCAATAAATAGTTTTTGAAACAAAAATAACACGAGAGTAATTGGTAATAAAAAAATAAATATAAAATATAATATAGCATAATAGTATAAGCAGAGTTGCGTGATACGCAATGATCGCGCTTGTTACTGTGATTGGTGAATGAGATCAGATGGCCGTAAGTGCGATGTCCCGACGCAAGATGGCTAAATTTCACTGATCCCTTTTGACTCGATAGTTGATCTCTTTTCATTTCACTTTGTGCATATACCTTTTATCTTCTGTCCTCCACATACTACTACATTGTATCCTATCCGCAAGTAGAGTTGACGTGACCCTAGCAGGTGACCGGACAAGGTCATGTAATATATAGGTCGAAATTTTATTGTTCTTCCATGGAAACAAAATTTCAGCGCTAACCATGAAAATTTATTAAAAAATAAACCAATCGCTCAATTAATTTCCTCACACAATAATTAAAGTTTACTTTATTACCAGCAGGTTTTTAGTTTTATAAATAAAAAGTTAAGTATGAAAATTATTTTGATCTTTATTGTTTATTATAAACGTCAACCAATATTTACTATTGTAATTTTCTTGTAGAAGTAAATATTTTGATCAACTTCAGACATTTGATTTGCCATTAATAAACAATGAAGGTAAATAAAAGAATAATTGAATAAAATGGTTAATAATACAAGAAAAGAGAAGGGGTTCGCCATGCGCCAGATTGCCTCCCGGAAAAAGAGACGTGCGAACGGCACGCGACTCGACACAACGGGACGCGATACTTACAATCAGTATATATGTATATATAAACATATTATATATAGGAGTAGAGTTGATTCAACATTTATACATTTACATACATGTATGTAATTGTGGCTGGTGTTAGCGGTGTTATTGTATGTCAATTTCCTACAATGAACTATACTACTATATGGTAATATAAACGAAGGCGAAATTAGTGTATTATTACATGGTTGATCTTGTAGTTGTAGCCAGAGTGTCAACAATTAAGTTAATATAAACGATGTGACAGCTTTGCGCTTAGCTGATGGCTCTTGGCTGCCGTAGAATTAAATACAGAGACGGAACCACTACATATATATATATATATATACATGCTGGTTGTGTAGCTTAACACTCTCCAACCTGGAACTCACTGAAGACTGGACTGGGTATAGTAGGTATACCCTCTACCTCAACTTGGGTACTTGGGTGTCTCTGGTCTGTAGTCGCTGTCTGGAACACAAAGTGAAGCCGTGAATAAAGTCGTGACATGACGGCGTGGCAGCAACTACTTGACAAACATCATACACTCAGTTATACCCGTTATATACAACACTTTGCTTTCTGCTTTCCATTTTAGCTCTTTGTGGTCCAAGACTTCCAAGACTATTCGTACTGTAATATACCTATATGTATGTACATATATCGCATATTATCTACCTACAATAACTAAAAGAGAGGGAGAGAGAGAGAGAGAGAGAGAGATAAAAAATACGTCAAGATTATTTTTATGTGTAGGTGAACAGGAGTTAAGTTGTGAGAAAGAGATTGTTTTCACTTCTTATTGCTATCCAATTGCTATCTCTATACTATCTCACTAGCTTCACGTTCACGGATTTCGAAATGCACTCTGGGAGATCTTCAATGCTACATTATGTTATTAACTGGAAATTATTTTTTATTTTTAATAATGAATTATTATTTTGTGTTATTAATTCTTTATTCATAACTCCGAACTGAAACGTCAAATATTTTGATTGTTAAAAATTTAAAAGACAGAACTTACGCTACCAGATATTTTTTTTATTTTTTATTTTTTCAACGTAAATTATAGAAAAAATAATAAATTTATAAAATATCTGATGCTATTTTTAGGATAAAATTTTATTTTCAATCTATAATTAAGGATATACTTACGGGAAATGTTCAAACAAAACGTAATTGAAACGTTGACTTTCAATCGTCGGAAACAAAGAGTCGTAATTTTTAATCTCATATTGACGTGATGAAAAGTCTCTGTAAAATTACGTGAGATTTACAAAGTTACGAATACTTTATATAATTTTTTGACTTAAATTAAAAAAATAGTAAACATTTTAAATATTTCTCTGTTATGTACATCAGCTTAATTTTTATTTCAAATTGCAAAAAAATTTTTGAATTATAAAAACATAAGGAGTAATCAGATGACAGATTGTTTTGAAGACTGCTTTTACAAATAAATTTGTAAGTGATAATATATACATACAAAAATATTTTTAATAAAAAAAATCAATATTCATAAAAACGCTTTTATATTTCTTAAGTTAACACATAAAATTCTTAAAGTGTACTTTATTTGAAAATTTTTTCACCCTTAATTGTAAATAATTTATCCACTAATTGCGTCTGATGGCGCGACGTTGACCTAATTTTGCAATAACCTATTTAAATGCTAAAGAACACAATATTTAGCTGTAAGAAATGTATTTCATATTGTCCTACTTAAATATAAACACCCATTAATTTTTATTGGAAATAATTTACGCGTACAAAAAGTAATAGAATTTTTGGATATATCTAATCATTTACCCAACATAAGGTAAATTTATTTT